TTGCTGGCTTATTAAGGACTCAAAATGCAGAATGTTGAAGTCTCAAAATGCAGAATATATCCACCTAAGATTTAGAAAAAGGTTTCTGACAAAGCAGGAGCTAATCTTTGGATTTTATTTCAAAAGATATTTGCTACGTATTCAGTGTAATGGATGCACAGCAGTCACCAAACATTCCATTCACAATTTTTCCACTCAAATTGAAGAGGGTAAGTGTGTGCTTTGAGGATAGTTAATGGTTTTCACACTATTTAATGCTAATAGCAGCTTACCTTTTAGGTTAACTTCTCTAATGCGTGTCTTTGAATTTGTTGTAGCCTACCTTCTGTTTTCTGAATCCATTATTGTAGCTGACATTTGCAAATATTGGCAATGTAGAGCAGCAAAGCTGCACTCATTTTAGAATTGTGTTAGAAGTAATTAATGCAAATTACGAGAACAATTTTAAATGTAAATAACCAAGAAAGATTTGGTTTATCTTTTTATAGATCTCTGTAAAAATAGATTTGATGTTTAAATATACAACTGAATCATTTTTAACTTTATTCTAGCACCACGTACATCTGTGATAATTGTTGTAGTTTCCAAAGCTACTGCTTAAATTGAGACCCCATGTTTTTCAAGACTACGCTATTTCTTGCTGATCGTTTCCATTGGAAGAATCATAAAGGTAATAATCATTCTTTGTCTTTCAGATTTTTTTTAGCTTTCAGCCCTAATTCCATGACAAGGATCCTGACAACGATTTAGACAAGGCCATGTTAATTTTTTTTCTATTGATCGCACATAAGAATTGTCTATAACCCTTTAACTGAATTTGAGTGGTCTGTGCATTTACGTATAATTCTATTTTGGAGACCAATCATGAGATGCACCAGATGTTCTCTATTAGTTTACTTTAGCTAGTTGTTGATAATGGAAAAATTGCACTAGAATATACTTACAAACAAACTTATTTGTCAAAACTTCAATATTGCCTAGATAGCCAACCAGTACTCTAAAACAACTTCTTTTATAGCTTGGGCTGATAGTGTCAAATTTGTCATATTATTTGCAATAAAACAAACTCAACTCTCAGATCAAGGAACAGAGAAATGCAAAGTTAAAAACAGCGAAGAGCCAGCTCAGCTACATGAAGAACTTTTCAAACCATGTTCGCCTTATTCTGTGGTATGGTAACCAGAAAGTGAAAGACAAATTACAAAGTGATGTCCACTAGACATAAGACACAAGAAGTAAGACATAAGAGATTCATTTCAACCAACAAGAATTACAATTTAAGTTATGATTAATAAAAAATAAAGAAACAAGTACATTGGACTAGGTTTACCATAATCTATGATACCAAGTCATTAAATTAATGACATTGAAAATTTTAGAAAAGAACCCAATGGTTGGGAAGGGATCTTATAGCAGAGCTAATTCACAGACCCCTACCCGGCCAATCAGGCCGATCCAGACATACCAACTGAGGTTACCAGTTCTTAAATGTAACTGCTATAGAAGAAGAAAGCGCTGCTGTCAGAAACGCAGAAGGATAGTTTGGGGAAATAGCATTGTTTGATAAGAATCAAAAGCCTTATTGGAAAATGTACGCTTAAGGTGTTTTTTATTTGTCGCATTTGTAAAGAGAGGATTGTTTTTTAATGCATTAAGCGCTTTAGTGCCAGTATAGCGCAGGGAGCTTAGCCCATAGGTAGTTGTATTAAATTTTTGTGTATGAAGTCCTCTAGCGGATGAAAGACGAGTCGTCCGATTGTGCATATTTTGAAAATACAACTCTTTGAAAAAGCCAGTTTTAGCTGCTTGGTAGTCGATTCATATCAAAATCATGCATAAAGAGTAATTGTTGAAGTTTAAGAATATCATCTAACTTCAAGATTTTTAAGTCTCTGAAATGCTGTGATGTGTGGTCGTTATATCCTGAAAAAGGGATTGTTTGTATAGCCTGTTTTTGAGTTTACGTTTTTGGTCAAGTTGATCACCAGTTGCATTTCTCCATAAGATGCATCCATAAGATAGGTGTGAGTTAGAAAGACTGTTGTAAAAATGCTTTAGAGTTGAACTAGTTACAAAATGTCTGATTATTGTCAGCAAGCCAGTTGAATTTGTTATTGATCAGAATGCCTAAGTATTTAATACGATTGGACTCATGTAGAATTTTGTTATTCAAGCGGAGAGTGAAGTTGAAGTTCCTGTTTTCACTCAAATTGTTCCTAAAGAGAAGAAATTCCGTCTTCGCAACATTAAGTGAAAGTCGATTTGGGCAAAGCCAGTTATACAGAGATTCTAGTTCTTTATTCATTGACTTTCTAGGAGTTTTCAGACTTTTATTGGAAATAATAAGATTTGTGTCATCCGCGAAATGATGTACAAGTGAATTTGGAGTAGCATATCTTAAATCATTTAAATAGATTAGAAATAATAGTGGTCCTAGTATAGATCCTTGTGGTACACCACACGATATGGTCATTAAACTTGAATCGATGCAGTTTATTTGTACATATTGTTTTCTGTCAGTTGGGTAAGATTCAGACCATTGATGGGCTGGTCCTCTTACTCCGTAATGGTAAAGTTTGTCAAGTAAGATTTTATGATTCACAGTTTTAAAAGCTTTTTGAAGATCAATAAATACCCTGCATACATTTACTTTATTATCCAAGGATCTCAAGGATTTCACTAGAATTCAGTAAGGTAGAATTGGCAGAGTTCAGTAAAGTTTCTTAACTTCCTAACCTATGCCCATCGTACCCATTCAAATAATGTTCCTTCTAATCAGTTACCTTAATATCTTTTTCATAATGGCGAAACAGGGTACAAAGTTTCTCAGCGTGTCTAAAAAACCAGTTCTGTGGAGGATAGTGAGATTTATTGTTTCCAAATTTTCAGACATACATATGTTATGTACATATCATTTAAATCGCGTGTTAAGCAAATGTTTATAAAACAAACTTCAATTTTTTGCAGATATATACCTAATTGAGGAGCCTTGAAAAGTATAAAGGGGGGGGGGGAAAGAAAAACATTGAGACCTTTTCATGGCATCGAAGAGATCCTACAGCCACACTCCCATTTTTCATCAAAGATTTCATTTGGATCTTTCGCGACACAACAAATGTGGAACAGAAAGTTACAGGAAAAAACGTCTTACAGCTCTGTCATCAGTACTACCAGTTTCTGAACTATCACCATCAATGATTACACAACAGTTGTAATCAGCTCAACATACAATGGATTTGCTTATTGAACTTGGTTCCTTAGATGTGTTCCCCAAATCACCTTCTACCATACCACCATCTCTAACTGTACCATTTCCTCCAGTGATGGCCACACTAACGTGCCTATTTTCAATCATGCTCAATCGATCGTTATCATCCCCAATATAATTATTTCCGTCACCCTTCACTTTTACATTGCTGTTATTAACATGACCCCTATCTACATAAGTGTCAGAACCATAACGCAGATCTTCATCATCATCCATATTTACATTGCCTGAAGTCAAACTATTTAAAAACATCAGACAGTGATCCAGCACTTTGTCCCTCTCTCTAGTAGACATGAATGAGCATGGCAAGGCTGGATCCCTTGTATTAGGGCTCCTAAAAAGAATGCTATCTGGCCACCAATGCTGGTTTCAAGCATTGTGGTTGTGCCTCTCCACTTTTCTCTTTCGAGCTTTGTCAACTGCACAGGCAACATCCATTTACCAATTAACTTGTAAGCAGTATGGTTGGTAATATGCTTTTCGATATTTGGTGGCAAATAGCCATTCTCCATAGGTTTGATTCTGACGAAGTTTACCCATTTTCCTCCACAACACGTTTCTTGTCTGGAATAAAGATAAACATCTCATTATAAAAGTGCCAAATTCTTTCATGCACTACAATTGTGCTAGGGGCCTATGGACTCGTCGTCAGGGTCTTATAAGCGCCATAATAAGCAGACAAACAACAGCCTTTGTTTTTTTGTAAGCCTTGGTTTATTAGAAAGGTCATCAAAATACATTGGAAAAAACACTGGTTTTCATACATGGTTCATTTTGGTAAATTTGGTTAAACAAACTACTTCATATAAAAAGTCGAAACAAGGTGGACAATTTGTAAAAAATGTTTCTTAATTCTTAATTCAAAGAGGAATGAATCTAAGTCTAAGAAAATATTTAAAATAAAAAAAATTTTAAAAATTGCAATCAAATGCAAATTTCAGAAATATAAAATTATATTTAATTACAGTAGACAAGTCTCCCATTACAAGACATGGCCAGCAAAAATATGTGTTCTTTTCTTCGTTGCCACACATCCATAGAAAAGTTCCATAGATCGACTATACTTAAAAGTTACTTTTGGACGAGGTCTTCCATCAGTCTTTAATTCTAAATGTTGCTTGTTGTGCTTGTCGAAAATGTGATGTGTTAGGCTAATACATTGAATATATTTGCGAGCAGCTACTGGTTAGATTCATTGACCTAACCTGCTACCCAATTAAGATAAATAAGTCGTGAATTTGTAAAATGTTGAAGGATTTTTTTGTAAAAAAGTAGCACATCAGATAATTATCAAAGTTGCTGAAAATAATGACTTTTAGTTTAAACCAAGAGCACAGGTAAAAAAGGGATTTCTGCCTTGAAATGAAAATAATGAAGCGTGAAACTCAGAGTAGCAATTTAGAACTCCCTGTTCTACACACCAAATAGCGTGTACAGCTCTACCTATATGGCATCAAGCACTTAATGACAGACCAGTAAACAGTAATTTTCATCTTACTTTTCTAGTCAAATACACATCAGTTGCAAGCATATAGTTGCAAGCACAAGCAATCTTACATTAAGCCCATTTCCAACAAGCAATTTACTACAAGGCCCCCTTGGCAACCCCCCCCCCCATCCCCCCACAACCAGTATTCCTGACATGAAGCCCTGATGAAGCCTGATATGCTGGGGCAAAATATTAACCATGGTTGATGTCTACACTGGCATAGTCACCTGATATTATAGTCAATTTTCTGTGTTTGTCTCTTGACAATTTCATAATTGTATTCTCTTCATGCAAGCTCTACAAATTAGCAATGAGCTCATTGTCATCGATTTCACAGTTACCTGAGGCCACTTGCAGGTGGTTTGTGTGTACTGGTGTGGGGTTGTCAGAGTTACCACCCTGTTGCCTAACTACACCAAAAGATTCTGTAGGGGATCTTGATTTAGCTGCCTGGTTACAAGAAAATTCCCTGATGTTGTAACTTTTCCCAGAGAAATAGTATTGCCTTGATTGTTATACACCAGCATTTAATGAATGGTATTCTGTCCTCCCCAGTACCTTTATTTAAAACCATGATTGACTTAATAAATGCCAATCTACTTGTTAGCTTGTTAACGTGAGATGAGTCCTTGAAGCTCAATGCATTACAGCAATAAACATTTTTATCAAATTTTGACAATAGTTGTGCTGTTCCTATAGCTTCTCCAGGAAGGGCTTGAAGACTTTTATATGTATTTAAGGCGGCAGCTACAGTGCAGCTTATTACTTGTGTTGCCAATTTGACTCTCATTTTAGTAAATCCATTAGGATTCAAATGCCTTTCTGTAAACTTTGGAGCCATTCGCATAGGAAGCTTATGATCTTTCTCAAAAAATAACTTTATATGTCCCCATTGAGCTACTTTGTCGTCAAATTCAAATGTATATTTCCTTAAATTACTCCTTATTGACATGGCAAGACGGCGTGGATAAAGAATTGTTAGACATCTCTTATTATTAATTTTTATATATGTTTTATCTTCTGATACATACATGGCATTCAAGAAGCTCAACAAGTATGATCTTTGGTCAGAAACTACGAAAACAACAATTAAATCCATGGATCCTGTACCATATGTTCTAAATCTATAAATCTATGTTCTTGTAAGGTATCTGAAACAGTATTTGGACCCAGTCTATTTATACACGCAGGGCAGTATAAATTAGAAACTAAAGTTCTTTGTTTTTCAATTTCTATATACTTTTTACCATGTACATTTCCACATTTCATGAGAAACCTCAAGCTGCATCTGTCACAGGATAAGGCTCTTGGTTGACAGCAACAGCTCTTGAACAAACACTGGACCTGGATTTATTTCCACATCACTAGATAATATTAGCAACACTGAAGAGTCTTTTAATAACTGGAATGTGTTTGACCCCTTTCTTTTGTTATTGAATTTGCGTGTTTTGCGATGCTTGTACTTTGACCTTTGCTCAGGCCCATTATCTTCATGATGTCGATTTAGGCCAGTGATGAATATGGCTGCAGGAAAACGACACTTGTTGTGTTGTAACAAAATTTAACTTGTCAATGTGTCCTTGATGCTGTTATGCTTTCAGTAAGCTACCAAAATTATGCAGTAGCTCAAATATTGCAAAGCTAACAAACTTGAAGTAGCAAAGCCTGGAGGCATCTACCATAATGTTGCAACGAAGTTGTGATATTGATATGGTCCTTCATTACATTAAAAAGGTGCAAATGTCCCAAGAATGGCAAAAATCTGGCTGATATTTATGAACATGTCCGAAGTTGAACTATTTGTTTCAATTAAACGAACCTATAACACTCTTCTAATATTATGTTGGAGTTATACATGGTTATACAGTGTTTTGAAAACAATATTCAACCAAGGCTACCCTTATTTCATCTGCCCTTGCAGATTGTGTCTCTGAAGTTGTGTTTGAAGATGCTGTTGATGGCTCATGTTGGTCACTGCACAGTGCCTCATCAAATTTATCTCTTTTGTTCTCACATACGTTGTGCAGAATGCAGCAAGCTGTAACTATTTGATTCAATTGTTCAATGCTTGCTTCATTTTGCTCTAAAGGCATCTCCATCTCCCCTTCAATCTACCAAATGCATTTTCCACAACCATTCTAGCTCTGCTCAGACGATAGTTAAAATGTAATTGTTTCTGTGACAGTTTCCCATTTTCTGAAAATGGCTTTATTACCTAGGAAAGCAATGGGGAAGCTGCATCTTCATTTATCTTTTTAATTTTGTCCTTCTCTAATAGATTGCCACTTTGTCCCTTTCTGTAAATAGCCGAATTTGCAAAAACCCTGGCATCATGCACTTTGCCAGACCATCCAAATTTTATGTTCATAAATTTATACGACCCAACAACAACAGCTTGTAAAATTATTGAGTACCATCCCTTTCTGTTATAGTACTCTGCATGCAATTCTGCTGGGGCCTTTATAGGGATGTATGAACCATCAACAGCCCAAAACATTGTGGAGAGCCCTATAAGGTTTCGAAACCCATGCTCAACTTTTTCAAGTTCTTCCAGCAGGAATTTTTATTTACTTATCTACAAATTGTGTAGACAAAACTTCGCAGAATTATTCAACTATTGATCCTACACTTCATGTAAAAATGGCAAAAAGATGGCCGATAGTTTGATAGTCTGCATTGGTTGCCAATCCAAGCAGAGAGACAGCAACTCTTTTCTCCGCAGAAATGGCTTTTTTAGCTTTGTGTCCTCCCTAGAAACGAATGGTGACAATTCTTCACACAACAACTTCATGTTTTTTTGACATGCGGAAATTTGCATGCCAATCATATGCCTCAAAATGATGCAAGACAATTGAGTCCCACCAGTTTTCACTTTGGGTTTTACACCAGTATTTCCTTTCCACGTCTGCTGGTTGAATGTGATACCTAAAGTGATACTTTGTTTCAGACATACTTCAAATTTTTTCCACCTCTGTGATTTGAATCTCTAATACGCTCAAATCCATTTGAGAGATGCAGCAAATATTTTGTTAAATCTTGACCGCCATGCCATTTTATATTTCTTGCAAATAAACTGCATTGCCAGAAAAAAACATTTTAGACTAAATACAATAATGCGACAACTTCCATCTTGATTGTGTTTGTGGAAAATTTGTTTTGTTGTCGTTTTTTTGTTGTTGTTGTAATTTAACTGCGCATGCGTAGCATCAGCTAACCTTGGTTCGCCCTGACTTTGTGTCCACATTACAAAACATGAAAATCAAGTTTGGGCAAAACAGGGTTCGCCCTAGATTAAATTCAAAATGCATGAGGAAGTAGCAACTGAAAAATACAAAGAGCTATCAGGAAACAAAGTTGAGCCAGCTGGCCTTTTCATGTTTCCTTGTGGATATTTGGGGTGTAGCCCAGATGCGATCATTTATGAGGAGGCTACAAACACAAAACAAATTTTGGAAATCGAATGTCTATGGGCATACAGAAATTCCAGTATGGATGAGATAATTCAGCCTGAGCTGAAAGGTAGAAGTGGAGTCAAAAGCTTTTACCGTGCAGCAAAAAGGAGCTTAATAGAAGACATTAATATTGGCATAAAGGACAAGGAGAAATGGTAGCAGCTTGTGTTTCATGGGCACATTTTGTGGTTTGGACAGTTGTGGACTGTAGAATTTTTTCAAGTGAAAAAGGATCCTTTATGGGAAAACACTTTTATGCCATTATTGTCAGATTTTTATCTCAAAGAATTGCCCCTTCTCCTGTTATGTACAAGAAGTTTGAGATTGTTTAACAGAGCCGGATTTAACCCTTATTTTTGGATGAATTGGGGAAACAATTTAGATGATTCTAATGATTAAATAATTCAATAAGTAATACAATTTCAGAATGCCACAAAATGGCAGAACCATATTTTTTTAGTTAAAACACATTTTGATATGATACTCATTAGATTGAAAATAGAACAGAACGATACAAAAACATGGATCGCTGACAGTTCCTCTTTTGGAAAAAACGTATACTGGACAAAAGTTGGAGAAGCACAACTAACAGGTATTGTGTAAAGCTAGTTGTTTTACCACTTAAAAATTATGCTCTCTGTCTCATTATTTGCATGTTCTGCTGGTTCATTTGCAATAAAAATTGCTGTTGCTGTGCTTGCATATTTGCCATGAACTGTTGCTGTTGCCTGACCAACTCTTCTGCTTTTAATTTCATTCCCTTTTCTACTTGCTCCTTCTTTATCAGCATTAAGCCCCCCTCCCCTGGAGGATTTTCCACAGCATCACCAGACCTTTTTTGTGAGTGCTTTTTCAATTCCTTCCTTTTCCTTGTCTTATCCAAACACTCTGTTGCTTTGTTCCTTGTGTCCAATGCTTTTTCCTCATTTTCGTTCTCCTTTTCTTTCTCCGTGGCCTCTTCCCAGCCAATTTTTACTTCTTCCATTCTTTGGTTGATGTCGGTTAGGTCCCTATACATTTCGTCAAAGTCTTCTGCTTGAACTCCAGAGACTCTTGTTTTCTCTTTCCCGTTTTTCTTAAATTTTTCTATCAGTTTGAAGAACCTATCATTAACAGTTCTAACTGGAACTCGAAATTTGGTCCTTCCAATTGATTTAAATTCTTCACTATCAATTTTCAATCTTGCCCTCGCTCCTTGGATTGGGGCTTATAAAGATAGGACTCAGCAAGGAGTAGCTCACAAATAAAGCATTGATCGTGCTGGACTTTCCAAATAAGGGCTCTCTTTGGTAACATTTTAACTTAAATTCTTACCTATTCTTCGTTCAAATGAATATATATTTAGCAGCCATTTAAGATGGTTACCACTGTTTTGTCCAATAACATTTATGGTCTATTCTCGATGCCAGTATATCAAAACTCTCAAGGATAAAGAAAGTTCTGAAAAAAGACGACGACTTCAAAGAATCTGGACAAGACCTGGTAGGACTAGTGCATGGTGGGACATCTTCGTCAAAGATCTTGTAGTTCCTGAAGAATGAAATGAGAATTTTCGTATGTCTAAAGAAAGTTTCTTCCTTTTATGTACAGAACTGTAGCCATTCCTATCGAAGCAGACAACCCATTTACAAACATCAATATCTGTCGAGAAACGGCTAGCAGTAACAAGGATAAAAAATGTTTTCAGCCAATCAGATTATTTGGTTACATACGTCACGAGCCAATTAAAACATTGACTTTTGCTTCTCCTATACAAAGCAATGGAGAAAAACAGCCTTTACAGAAATTTAACACTTTAATCGAAATTTGTCATTTCTCAAGAACTTTCTACAATTCTAAATAGACAAAAGGCATATCTAAAACTTTGTTGTCCCCATTTTTGAAATAATTTCCGAGACCCGAGAAAAGCTACAAAATGTTTGACCATTTTTTAGCCGGACGGATAGGGCCCTTTTTCTTCTTCCAAAGATCGGTTTCATGGCAAAGCGAGCCTTCACCTTAAATTTTGCTTACCTATTATGCTCAATTGACACCAGAAGAGTAGTCTAGTTCCTATCTCGTCTTTCTATGTTACTTTTGACTTTTGAGGACGGTTTTTCAAATTCATATTATATCACAGACAATTTTAATGTTTTAATGTTGATGCTGCCTGGCCCTTCGCCACATCTAGATTAGTTCCACTTAACCCACCCTCACTCAAAATATGCTAACATGGAAATCATTAAACACCTTACTAACTATATCAACTTAAATAAAAATCTTGCAAGTATTGAGTGCATCTTCTTTAAACGTTCCACATATTTGCTGCGAATGAACAGGTTTCATTTTGTTATGCTGCCAATAAATCAATATACAATATACTCAGGGGAACCTCCTCCACCAACCTTGGCATGGTTTGGAGCTCCGTTAGTATTAGGTGATTTGGCCAAAAAAATTTTTAGATGATGCTAAAATAAAAAGTTTGGCAATAACAATAACCCAAAACACTCTTTATTTTGTTGCGGAGGGGGATAAACAAAATACAGTGGGTCATTTGGCTTTTCCACTCGCGGTCAACCAATCAGCCGATTTTAATCATCGCTTCCCAGGTTTAGGCAGGAACTCTAGTGCAGGAAAATGCAAGTCTATAAATGTATACAGAAAAGTCCTTCTTTTTACTCGTTGCAAAATTCCGAAATTTAAAAATGTGTGCAAAAACACTTTACACAAAGAATGGAGCGAAAAAAGGGATAATTCAAAATGTATACATTTGTGTACAAAAGACTTAAAATCGATCATTGCAGAGACAAATATAGATCATATCTCTATATACCGTATATCTCTCATAGCTGCTGTAACTGTTAAAGTGTTTGCCTAAAAAAAGAGGAGTTCACAAGACACCTGAGCAGTGATTTACAGATTTCATTGAAAGAAAGGGTAAGCAGATGATCTTAGCTTAATGTAATTTTAAAAAAAGTTAATTAAATATTATTTTAATTGCAAAGTTTCAGAATAAGCTAACACAATTGTTTGCTAGATAATTACTTGTATATCTATACCTTACACTTTCAAGAAAATTTGTTTAAGAAGTTTTTTGAAATTTCAAGGACTTTGATATATTTTGATTTATCAAAATGTTTCAATAAAGGCTTTTGGTATGCTTTGTTCAAATTGTGTAAAACTTAATAACGTTTAATAACTAAAATTAATTAAAAAATAACCTTATTTGCAGATCGACAAGATTCTGGAAAAACATGACTTTGACCAAGCTAATTCCCCAGAATTAACTCCTGATAATGAAATGGAATGGGAATCCTCTGAAATGTCAACCCAAGGTTTTAGCCAATAGAATGACTCAACCACATTGATATTGAGCTCTCCTAGCCAGCAACTAATTCTCTCGCAAGAAACAGATTCTCTGATCCCAAGTGTAGATACAAAAGATAAAGCTTGCCAAACAGAGAGTTCCATGAGTGATCCTGTTATAATTGACAAGGCAGAATATGGGGAACTCTTCTTTAAAGCATCTAAGTCATTTAACCTTAAAAAAGAAGTAACAAAAGTAGAAGAAAAATGCTTTGCACTTTATGGAGATGAGGGAAGTCCTGAAATGGACCCATAAAAAATTGAAAAAAATTGTCAAGATACAGATGCTTCAAATATTTTTCCCTACATCTACAATTCCCTACACGCTTTGAGTGTAGAGAGTATGTCAGAAAATCGACTTATGCTGAACACAATACGCACAATGGTAATTATTTATGTAATGACTTTTGGACAGTCACAAAAGTCAAATTGGTTTCAGGTAGCTCTATCAAGAAAATTGTCGCAATATGGCATAAGTGAATGTGGATTGACTGCTTTAAGAAATATAGGAATAGCAGCATACCCATGGACTACAAAAAATGAAACAGGTTCAGCGGCATCGAATCATCTTCAACAAGTGCAAAGCTTTTTCCAAGAAGCAACGGATAAAGGGCACTTCATTATGATGTTCATTGATGACTATCATAATATTTATACCAAGCATCATCCAAATGAGAAGCAGCGGTCGGAATCAGTTCACATGGCCACCTTGATGGTAAAAGTATTTGAAAAAAAGGCTGTTCCACAGGAGGGAAATGAACCACCACTTAGCGAGAATCCTGCTGATATCAATATTCTTCATCAGGTGATCAACCAAAACATTTCAACTTTGTCAAAATCATATGCTCAAGAAATGCCTGACAGGGTACTTGCCAAATATTTTGACCAAACATCTGAAAGACAGATTATTAGTGCATGTGAATCAACAAACAGAAATTAGGAAAAGGAGGTCAGAGGAAAACACAAAATTGGTGGGCAGAATAGAGATTAATTTAAAGTCATTTAAAGTTCTTGTGTCTGTTAGTTAAACAGCGTTTGAACTGTAATGCGTAAAGAACATTAATACAGTTGCAGTCCAGTCTTTGTTTTTTGTCGTAGTGTTTGTCAGTGTTAGTAAAGTTAAAAGAAGTAGTACTGTCTGTGATGTGTTGGCATGTTCTGCAGTTACGTCTCGAGTGGCATTTGTAAGTGCCTCTAAGGTTACGTTGTTTTGTGGTTTTCAGGCAGTCCTGTCTGGTTTTTTTTATAACTATTGCCCTCTTGTTTTAAGCATCTACTCTATTATTATTGCATTCAAAAAATACTACACAGAGCCTTACTTTCAATCTTTAAAACATTCTTTGCTGCTAGATCATGCTTTCTGTCTTTATAAGAAGACACTATGATGAAGCATTGTTGATTCTCCTCACAACATATGAGTACTTGAAGATAATGAATATTCCTCTTTTTCATGTCATCTCAAAGTTTTTGGTTGCCTTTGATGAATATTCAGTTAAAAATTTTAATTCAATACTAAGAGGAAGGACAAATGTTACAGACAATGCTGCCCAGATTTGACGTCAAGCAAGGGAAATTGATCCACGCTTTCGCCACCATGGAGATACAACTTCTGCCCAGGCAAAGTACAAAGATTAAATATCAAGGCAGCTGAATTTCTCGTGAAAAAGTTCAAAACACTTTTAACAAGCCCATCCAGAGCAAGCAGGCTCCAAAGAACTCCAAATCAAACGAAAAATGTCACAAAGTGGTCACTGCCAAATTTGTTTTGAGAAACTATTGTCACAAACAAAGTCTTGCCTTTTGGATTATCATCTCTGGAACATCCTTCTCCTGAACAGTAAGTGTTAGAAATTCATTTTATGCATTTATTAGCTCGATTTTTATCACGAATGAAAACTTGGTCTTGTGAACATTGGAAACCTTCAACACGAAAATTGAATATTCATAATATATTATGAATACTTACATTCCCTTTCAGATATATTCAAAGAAATCTGTTTATGGCAGCTAGAAGAAAGTTTTGTGCTACAGGCATTTTTCATCAGAATTAAGATATCAATTATAGGATGTTGCAAGCTGTATATATGTTTATATGTATGTATGCGTGTATAAATCATGTCGAACTAACAGACTTCGAAATACCTTCTTTTCTAGAAAATGTGACAAAAAGAATTGCTCATTGGTGAGCCCTTTGTGGCTATATTTACCTGTGGACATTCGTTTCATTGCCAGTGCAACCTTCCAAACGTCAGTGAGTGTCCTGTATGGAAAGATGCTCTAAAGAATAAAATTGATTTGATGGCAAAACGAGCAAACAGTGCTGTTTTCCGCCCTCATGATGTTGATGAAGCCGGAGACAACAATGTTATTACGGATGACAATGTGTCTGACTTCAAAGGAGAGCCTGAAGACCAACCTTCTGATGATGATGTTAAGATGGACGATACCCGTTACACAGATAGAGCCCTTCCAAACCATGCTGAGGTTAGCAGAGAAGGTTCCCCCGAGTTTTTGCAGCAAATATGTGGAACGTTTTAAGATTAATAATTGCAAGATTTTTATTTAAGTTAATATAGTTAGTAAGGTATTTAATGATTTCCATGTTAGCATATTTTGAGTGAGGGTGGGTTAAGTGGAACTAATCTAAATGTGGCGAAGGGCCAGGCAGGATCAACATTAACCCTATCCAAACAAGGCTTTTTGAAACTTTCGGGAGACTAGGGGGGGGGCACGTTGTAATTTCTTTTTTCCTATAGCTAGGACAATGAACTTTGTTTGGATGGTACTCTTATCTATTCTCCACATTTTAGTACTATTGTACTCAATTTTTAATTCACGTGGTTTAACGATGACGTCATCATAATGGTGGCCGGGTGGAGCAAAAATTTAGAAAATTTTAGAAAATCTTGAAATGTTCATAAATTCCAAAGCATCAGGCTAAGATATCTAAAATAAGCAAATTTAATGCATTTTCTAATAGAAACAAGAAGTTATTTCTCGAAATTATTAACGTTCCAACACAAGCACTCAACATATTTTGTATTTGGCTATAGTTCTTTCTATATAACTAAATGATCGATACAACCAAATATCATGTTCAAGTTAATTTTAAATGCCTTAGGAGACAAATTAATCTAAACTGCCTTGGCTCATACCATCAACTTGCAGTTTTATTAATGTAATACCTATAAATATTTCAACAAATGTGTGCGCATGCGCAGCAGAAAAATCATAGAAAACGATGTTGAATTTGTTTTCTGGTCAGAATCATAAAAAGAGCACAAATTAATGCCTAGATACTAATTTTCATCAATATATCTACTTTTGTTGCGAATCTGTGGCAGATTAAACTTTTTTTTGCTTGACTAGTTTTGAAAACGCTCCTACCCACCCCCCTGATTAACAAAAAAAATTATCTTTTTATATGAGCATGTGTCAGACAGGTTAAAACTAAAAGGCAGGTCGTCTGAGTGGTATTGCTTAGAAACTCCTGAAATTATGAAAGAAAAGCCAACTAGGGGTGCACTTTGTGCCCCCCCCCCTAGTCTGGATAGGGTTAAAACATTAACATTGGCTGTGATATAATATGAATTTGAAAAAACAACCCTCAAAAGTCAAAAGTAAAATAGAAAGACAAGATAGGAATCAGACTACTCTTTTGCTGTCAATTAAACATAATAGGTAAACAAAATTGAAGGTGAAGGCTCGCTTTACCATGAAACTGATCTTTGGAAGTAGAAAAAGGGCTTTAACTCCCTCGTGAGGTATGTAAACAAACAATCTGATTTGCTGAAAACATTTTTCAATCTTGTTGCTAGCAGTGACAGTGACATTACCTAGCAGACGAAGGCAGATACTGGAAAGTAGCCGATGCTTTTGAGATTTCAAAAGCTTCAGTTTCTCTGATAGTAAGAGAAGTTTGTACCTTGATTTCAACAATTCTAGGACCTAAATACATTAAGGTGCCAACCACTGAGGAAAAGGTTCTCACAGCTGTAGACAAATTTTGTTTGGGGGCAATTGATGGAACACACATTTTTATTAAACAGCCAAAAGACCACTCAACTGGTTACATGAATCGCAAAACAAATACTATTTTAATGTACAGGCTGTTTGCAACCACAACTACATGTTCACAGATGTGAATGTTAAATTGCCTGGAACTGATAGTTGCCAATTCCAGCATCAACAAGAAATTAAGGTCTGGTGTCATTCCTCATTGTCCAAGTAGAATTCTAGACTGCTTATCCTCTTCTTCCATATATCATGAAAGAGTTACAATGATGGTTGCAATGATGGAGAGATATTCTTCACCTGGCGACTTTCCTCTGTTCATATTGTCATAGAGTGTGCCTTTCCCGCATAATGTTGCTCTCCAGCAACAAAGCTTTTATTGTAGATTTTGACTTGGTCAACCTGTTGTAATATTTCGCAGAGGCAGGCAATATTGTCTGTTGTTGTTGGATACAAATGCATCAGTCCATGAAGTAACTGCATTCTAAAAAAAATTGGCCTAAGTGCATAAATGTCTCAAAGCAATGCTGCCAACTTCTGCGATTTCTGATTTCCTGGTGAGTAACATTTGATCATTGAAAAAATTTATTTCACCTCTCGTTATTTATGCTCTATTGATAAGTAGTATTATTTTGTTATATTAAAACATTCAATATGTTCTGTGACCCATTTATTAGTTGTTACTCCAGAGCAACATGCAGCAGGAGACTATTGTTTTGACAACGTGAGAACACGGAAGTAAATAAAACAATGCCTTAAAATGAAGTTTGAGACTCTTTTGCTACATTGTTGCTGCACATACAAATCAATTTCCAGTCCATCAGTCCATTTCCTTCTTTCTGTATATTGAATAGACATTGATTGAGTATCATTTGGAAGAGAAGTGGTATTTATTCCATATTATTTTGATGTAATTTATACAGGTATGGCACAAAGTAGACCAATTTCAACATCCTCGTTTTATGGCAGCAGATGGGACAGAATCAGAATTGGTACTAATGGAGTTGAAAGAGAGACACAGAACGTTCAGATAGTGGTGCCAGAGCTTTCCGGTAGTGAGGTAGAAGACAATGTGAGGAAAATGAAGTACAAAGTTTCAAGATAGCTTTTTCAAGATAGTGAGAGAGTTGAATGGGATTCTGATATAGAAGAAATTCTGATATAGAAGAAATTCCAACAAACGCAGATGATGCAGACTTTATTGCAGATGGCATGGATAGCATGGATGAAAGTGAAGCTAATGCAACTACGCTTGAAGAGACAACAAAGCCAAAAGATGGTTCTACCAAAACCAAAATGAATCTGATTGAAGATCCTCCACAACGATGGAGAAGGAAACTTCCAGCCAAAGTAAACAATGAATTTGTAGGAGAGCCCTTTCCGGATCCACCAAAGAAAGAAATGAGCCCGCTAGAGTACTTCAAACTGTTCTTTGATGATAAATTGATTAGCCACATTGCACATCAGAGCAATTTATATGGTACTCAAACAGCTGGAAAATCCCAGAGTACCAACAGCAATGAAATTTAGCAGTATATCGGTATACTTTTAATGATGGGAATAATCAAGTTACCTCAGTACAGAATATATTGGGGAAATGCCACCAGGTTTCCAATGATTGCTGCAGCAATGGGCGTAAATTGCTTTGATAAAGTGAAACGTTTCTTTCACTGGAACGATAATGATGAAATGCTTCCAAAAGGACATCCAAAGCACGACAAGCTTCATAAAGTGAAACCTGTGATTGAATCTGTCCTGCGAAATTGCAAAAATGTTCCACCAGAAAAGAGACATTCTGTCGATGAACAGATAATTCCCACCAAAAGCAGATCAGGACTAAAACAGTACCTGCCTAAGAAACCACACAAATGGGGGATAAAGATCTGGGCCCGATGTGGAGTCAGTGGAATTGTTTATGATTTCCAGGTGTACACAGGTGCTGGCTCCGGTGCAAATGATTACGATAATGCCCCAAACCTAGGAGTGGGGGGAAATGTTGTAAAACATCTAACATCCTCTCTACCTTGCCATGTTGGATACAAAGTTTACTTTGACAACTACTTCTCTTCTGTCAATCTTTTGAATTACTTAAAAACACAGGGCATCTGGGCTATAGGCACAATGAGGGCTGATAGGCTGAAAGGAGCAGGGAGATTGCTGCAAGACTAGAAAAGCTTGGAGAAGAAAGGGGGCAGGGGATCTAGTGATTGGTGAGTTGATGCTAACACCAATATTACTATTGTACGTTGGCTTGATAACTATATTACTATTGTACGTTGGTGTTGTGCAACTGATTTCTAACCATATTGGAATTGCTGATGGCACTCCAGCACGGCGATGGTCTATGAAAGAGAAGATGTTCATTGATATTCCAAGGCCACTGATTGTCGAGGAATACAATATGCATATGGGTGGTGTAGATCTTTGCAATATGTTGATGGCCCTGTATCGTATAGAACTGCGGTCAACCAAGTATTATATGCATATTGTATACTATTGTATCAGTCTTTCAGTAGTGAATGGGTGGCTTACAAAACACTGCTTACAAAATGGTGTATGTGTTAAGAACCAATTTACACTCCTCCAGTTTCAAACTGCAGTTGCCACATCTTTACTGGTGGCAGGCAAAGAAACACAATCTCCCCATGGACAGCCATCAATCACACCACCTCCAAAAAAAAGATTGAAAAGTCATGCCACACCAACTTTTTCGGATGATGTCAGACATGATCAGATAGGGCACATGCCAGATTTTGCAGACAAGTAACAGCGCTGTCGCCACTGCCCGAATGGGTATTCATTTGTCCAGTGCTTGAAATGCAGAGTGCAGTTGTGCTTTGTAAAAGGGAAAAACTGTTTTAAGGATTTTCAATCTTCGTAGATTGGAAAAGAGAACTTGAAACTGCAAACATAAAAAGTTCGAACATTTGATGTGAAGATTTTGATATTGGACTAAAATTTTATTCTTATCACACTGTAGATTGCTGAAATGAACTGCTGCCTTTATAATTTTGAAATCGCTTCGGAGAAATCATTTCAGAGTTATTTTGATTGTTTTTAAACCTTTGGAAATTTTTACCCTTGCTGCATAATGTTGCTCAGGAGCAACAGTCTCGAATGACGTCAAGATTAAAATAGATTTTAACTTTTTTTTGTGTAATATGGAAGTAAGGTGTGAAATAAACATAATTCAATGACTAAAACTTTTTTTCTCCATATAAACAAAATTAATGGAGGAAAGGGCTAAAGAGATATGAAAGAGATATGGAGACAATGTTTGGAAAGGAGATCGAATCTGTTACTTTGATTGTTTCAGCGAAGGTGTCAGGTAGCAGGTCATATGGTTTGTTTGTCCACAGAGACTCCCAGTTGTCAACTTCATGAGAAATGTTTGAGCTTTCTGTAAGATTGCCGGTATGCTGGCACCAAAAATGTTCAAAATCTTTCTTTCACTTTTTGTCAAGGCGCTGAAACGTCACTTTCTTTTTTAGCTTGATGCATGATGATTGCACGGTTTCACAATACTGTCCGTCCTCTTTCATTTGTAGGGACTCCGAGTTATAATAAGAAGTTTCTACCTCTTCATGAGATCAGAAGTTTCTCGACCAATTAATTGGTTTTCACTGTACTCAGATTTCATAATTGCTGGCACAATGGACAGACCATTCAACGCAATACAGTTTTCTGCTGAAAATCGCAACAATAATGCTTCAAGCAGAAGGTCTAAGAAAGGAATAGACATGTTTATTTTATAATAAGAGGAAACGTCAGAAGATGGGACATTATTCTGTACCTCTGTGAATTGCAGGTTCTGTAGACCATGATAGGAGATTCTACTCTATTTGCTATATCACATGCGGTCTAAAACCATTGTTGATGGTAAATATCAATATTATCTCTTCCTGTTTGTAAAGATCTTGTCATTGTTTTTACCTTTTAAAATATCAACTTGTACACCTTTAAGCTGCTCCGTAGCTGTATGTGTATACCCAAGGCAATTTCTCACAATGATCAGGGTTATTAAAAAATTAAAATTAAAGTCCAAAAAGAGAATGCTTCACCAGCACATGTCCTCCATTTCCCATCCTTGTTACTACCAATGACAAACATTGTTTCTACTTGCCAAGCCATCAATCTGCAAACAGAAGGTGGATACATTGTGTGGTGAACATCCAATAACTTAGTGTATTTGCAGCCTGGGTTGAATTTCTTTAAATTTTTCTCTAACTGCTGTTGTCGCTTAGGAGAATACCTGAAAAACGAAAGGAAAGTCTTTGCAAAGAAGGGTTTCAAAACCAGAAATTTGGCCAGACATTACAGAAGCACCATCATAGATCTGCGTAATTAATTTTTCCTTCATTGATTTGCCATATTTCTGCGAAATTTCTTCAATAATAATACTAATGGCAGATGCGGATCTGTTGGAACTAACATCACAAAACTTTAAAAACCTTTCAACAATCTCACCTTTCTTGTCAAAACGAACAATGGCACTGAGTTGTTCCTTTGTACATACATCTGTTGTTTCATCAACATGGATGCATAAAACGAAGACTGAGAAATCTCCTTATCAATTTGATCTTGAATCACAGGATCTATGTATTCAATCAGATCATTTTGAGTATCAGCTGAAACACCTGTAAAAACTCAAATATTGCCTTTTTTCTTCATTAGCTAGTTTTCCACATAGGCGACATTCAAAAACCGACTCAAATTTTGCAAAACATTACAGAAGCTTTCTGTTATTGCCTTTATTCAAGCTAGTGTCGGATTCATCATGTACCCTGAAAGATAACTCTTGCTTACCTAAAAAGAACTGTTTGATGAGAATTTTCAGTATCTCCCTGTTCTGTCGGACATCTTCATTGTGGCGATCTACCTCCTCTCACCTTGCTTCTGAATTTCTTCATGTTCTCTTTAACTGCTGTTGTTTCTTAGGAGTGTATTTGAAAACTTAGATATCTTTTTGACTCGATCCTTCGTGTTAGTGACATTTTCGTTTTCAAATGCAGCAGAAATGGACAAGTTGAGCCTGTGAGATGAACCATGGGCAAACAGTGCCAAAGTATTCAGGTTCATAATAAGGGCAGCTACACCAAAGTATTTACTAGCCATGTTACCACCTACATCATAAGACTGACCATACCTTTTTTCAATATCAAGATTCAATTCATTTACCAAACAGTCAATGATTTTTTGCTTCCATATGGTTTTTCAAAATTTTATCACCGTAATAATTGCCTGACACCATGTTTGTTTTGACACAGAATAGAGTGGTAAAGTAAATACGTCACGTTGCCTCCGTAACCAAATTTCTGTTCTAAACAAACCAAGAAATATGGCGTTTTTTATTACCTCTCTGTGTATATTCTTTGAAGGCGAAACAAAATGCTGAGGAGTGGCTTCCTATATAAAAATGGCGTTTCCCATCAAAAAGAAAGGTGTGGCCAAAAACTCTGTAATTTTACATGGAAAAAATTAATACCAATCTGTCAGCACTACGAACTTCCTCTGATGTCTTCCATTCCCCATCCTTGTTGCTGCCAATTGAAGAACATTATTTCTGCAATTGCTTCATACAGGCAAAATCCACCTTGTATGGCAAACATCCAATAACTTTACGTATTTGCAGCCCGGGTTGAATTTCTTTATGTTCTCCTCTAACAGCTGTTGTTTCTTAAAAGTATATTTGAAAAACGTAGATGTCTGTTCGACACGATCCTTCGTGTTACTGACATTCTGGTTTTTAAATTCAGCAGCTATGCACAAGTTGAGTTTGTGAGATGCACAGTGGGTAAACAGTGCCAAAGGATTCAGATTCATGATATGGACACCAGAGTATTTTCCAGCCATAATATCGGCTCCATCATAGCACAAACCATGGCAATTTTCAACATCAATTCATTTACCAAACAGTCAATGATCTTATCTTTAAGGGCTTCTCCTGATACACCTTCATAGCAATGAATGAACTTGATGAATCTTTCTTGGATAATATTACTACCATCAACATATCTGACAACAAGAGGCATTTGCTTCTTATTGGAACAGTCAGTGACTTGTCAGCAAGAATCGAAAATAATTTAGACCATTTCATTTCTGCAATGATCCCATTATTCATTACTGCAGCAGCACAAGAAATGATTTCATTCTGAATAGTTTTCAATCGGCTCTTTAAGAACTGTATCGCCACTATCAATTCTAAGGTTGATTAAAGCTTGGAAATTTTCATTGTCCTCCTTGTCATAATATTTCAAGTCATTCCTATGTCCTCGGAATGGTACATTTTGCCTTGCAAGAAGAAAAGCAATTTTTATAAGAGAAGCAAGCTTCATCCTATTTTGGGTGATTCTATTATCGATAATTTTATTCTGAATTGTTTCTATTGATTTAATTTTGTTCTGTCTTACATTAAGAATGGTTGCCAGCGATGTTTTATGAAAATCTGACTTGCTGTGCATTTTGAATCTTGAAACTGCACATGAACAATCTTTAAAGGAACTTGTCACCAGCCTGTCTACTTTTGATGAATTTATACCAATCCTTCTTCCAACAATGACACAAGGTTAACAAAAGGACCCATAAAGAAATTTGGAATATTGCAACCAGGGATATTCATTAAGCCACAAAGAAATGAATATTCGCTTTTTGCCATATATTGGCTGTGTAGGAAAGTTAAAGTCACCATCTGGCCTCCAAACCTTTTGGCAAATTTCATATTTTTCGCTATTTGTAAAAGATGCTTTTTTACTATTAAAGGGTCCAATATCATGATCAGTTGTAATACCATTTTTTGGTGAAATATTCTGCTCAGAACAAGAAACAGGGGATGCAGCCTCCTCTTGAACAATGATTTCCAGTTCTGGAGATTGTTTTGAAGACGAAGGAAAATAAATTCTAGATTGCTTCAAATGAGAAACTGAAGAAGATGCAGGGAACTGATCTTTAGATGACTTCTGATGCTGGAGCTGTAGCAGAAATGGTCTCTTGCTTCACTTTGACAAATAATTGCTCTTGCCGAATGAAAGATGGATCACCAAATGATTGTCCTGAACAGTTGATTGACATCCTTCTTAGAACCCCCCAAGCATGGCCATAACAAATGAATATGGGAACTGTTATCATCTGGTATTTTATGAGGCTTCTTACCTTTGTGGTAGACCAAGAAGTGACTTATGATGTTAACAGAAGCACTTGTGTGGATCAGCCATCCAGCTAGTGGCCTTGATAGAAGACAATGCACGCTGCAACTTTGCATACAATCTACAGAACTGCAGAATATTCCTCCTGTAGTCATTTTTCAGGGTAAAAACGATGTTAAGCCATCTAAATTTCAGTCATATGACAAACGTGTTTACATATCTTGACAGGATAATGGGTGGATGGATGGTGCTGTTACCAACCAATGGGTAAATAATATTGCACCAGCTATAGACAAAAGCCAATGAAATGTTCTTTTTCTTGACAATGTGGCCTGCCAGTGCACCAAAGACTTTCATAGCATTTGTAGGGAAGAAGCTAACACTAATATATATCCACTCCGTCCTTCAGTCACTGACAAATTACAACCAGTGGATGCAGGATAGGGTTACATGATAATCAAACTTATTGATTGCCAACAGAATTCATATCTGGAAAATAATGAGAATTTTGAAAGATGGTGTGGTCAAGGCTACTCTGCTTCTAAAGGAAGAATACTACTGACAAAATGGCTTGGTCAGGCATTGACTGACTTGCAACAATATAACAGCTTTTGACACGCAACAATATAAAAGCTTTCAACAGAGTCTTTTCGAAAAAACAGGTCTGTTTATGACTGCAGAAGAAGGTTAAGAAGATAAGTTGATAAATTCCCTAGGATATAAGGACTATACATTTTAAATAACGGACAAAATAGTACTGTGTACAATGGTTAAGTAGCTAATCTACACGGTTCTATTTAAATATCTGACAAAACTGTAAGTGTAGAATGATGAATGTTTTGTTCTGTTTTTCAAAGGGTTAAGTTATATAAAAAATTTTGAAAAAGAAACAAGTATTTATCAAGACCTTCACAATTTTTTTATGAAATGGGTTATTTTATTAAAAATACAGTCTGCTTTTCTTAAAATTGTGTTTCTTACATTCAGAACACTACTGTAGCTGAGAGCGTAGAGCTATAACATCGATGTCACCCCTGTAATTCAATTTCAAGAACAAAGAAGACCATCTTCAGAAACTGCAGGGCATTAAGAATTACCCTTTCCGGCTTCTTGTGTGCTTGAAATCCTGGTTGACTGAATCAAAGATATAAGGTCAATGGCTTCAAAATACACCCTTCGATAATGGTCTTTCTTTGCAATGACAGATTTCAATCGAAGCATATTGTTTGTGCTATCATTGCACTGGCTGCGACAAGATTTTAAAGAAAGTTGTATTCTAATCATCGCATCTTTGATTAATGAGACTATTGTATCGGCACTGATATTCGAAACATTGTAGAATCCAAGAAAATTGTCATGAGCATCTATTTTTTCATCAATCCAGTAAACGCAAAATGTAAACTGTTCTCTGTTTAAGATGTCTGTTTACTCATTGCATATAAGCAAAAAGAAGTGCGGTCAAATGTCAGCAGCTAAGCTTTGCAAAATGCTATGAGACATGATGCCAAGGATTTTGTTTTCAATATCGTGACTTCTGTATTTGTCTTGCTTGTTCTTAAGCCATTTTTCAAACTTTTTATCTTCAAAACGTCTAGGGTGAACAAACAAATCACTGACTGATTTCACTAGACCTATCATCTTTCTAATATGTGTTAACTGACAAGCTGAGGCAGCCGCTAAGTTCAATATGTGGGATCTCCAGTGAAAGTAAATTGCATGGGGATATTTCTTCTGTACCGTTGCAGCAGCTCGATACATATACCCGCCATATTTCTGGCTCTATTCTATCCCTGCCCACGACTAAATTTTTCGATCAAGATAAAGTTTTTCTATGGCTTCTTTGATTATTGCAGCAACCTGAGAGCCTTTGTGTTACTCACTACAATGCACAAAACCTAAGGAAGCTTCCTTTAAAATAAATAATTGGTAGACATATCGAAGAACCAATGTCATCTTTTCTTTTACTGCAATATGACTTACCTACAAATCAAATGAATAATGGACTTGATAAATTAATGCAACAAAAGTACACATAAATTATAGATTTTTGTATGCCCCACAAAAATCGGAATTTGCCCATATGATTAAACCCTCTTTATCTTGGAAAAGCCCCCCCCCCCCTTAACAGCCTGATCAACACTCAGATTCGGAATCTGCATCAAAACCTACCTTTTGAACACGAATTTTTTTTAAATATATGAAGATGGTGGTAAGCTATGAAACTAATGTTAAAACATACAAAAGAAATATTTAGTTATAATTTACTAAGGTTTTTTGAGCTGTAATGCAACACTGTACTAGCAAAGTTTTATTTCAAAGTTTTATTGTACGAGCAGTTAAGCGAAATATGGAATCTAATAAGCTATACCCCCCCCATCGCTTTTCAAAACTCTAGCGTAATGACAGCATAGTGTGGGGAGGAATGCACGAAAAGGTGGCATGCAAACAGTATGAAGAAAAAACAAGGAAAACAGTCACTTCAACTGGGCTGCATCTTTTCCAATGTGGATACCTTGGTTGTTCCCCAGATGGAATTATTACTTCAAAAGAAATGAATGGTCCAGGAGCCCTGGAAATTAAATGCCCTTGGAAATACAAGGACTCTTCTATCAATGAGATGATCGAGAAGGAAATGACTTCTCCATCACATTTCAGACAATTTTATTCAACTCATGACATGACCAATTTACTGGCATCAGGTCCAAAAAGAAATGGCTGTTTTGGGACCAAATGGGCACAATTTGTTGTTTGGACAAGTTAAAGGTTAAAGGTGTTCAAAAAGAAAGAAGTTGTTGTGTTGGGTTTTGTTGATGTAGTTTTGAAAGTACACTAAATTTGATTAAATTTTATGTCTTCAACAGTTTCATTTTGATATGTCATATTCAACAGAGGTGTACCAAGAGGTTATAGGAGGAGTAGCTTTTATTCACTTTGGGAAAAAAGAGATTACTCAATAGCACTGAAATAATGCAAAGGGCAAACGTTTTCAGAAATCTTTTTGATCTATCAACCCATCTACTCTATTGAATACCAACCTATATATCAATAAACTAATAGCAGGTTCATATTTTATTTGCACAAAAAAATAAAAATTTTTATTGTTATGTTCTGAATTATCAGTTTGTTGTCTGTTGGTTATTGTTATTACTTTTCCTTCGTTTTATTGTTCATTGTTCTCATTGTCTATGTCACTGAATGTCAAAAGATGTATTTTGGAACAAATAAGTGTCTTATTAAAAGAGGAGGGTCTCTGACAAACAGCTCATATATCAATGAATGGAGGGGGGCAAAACAGAGTTTGATCTTACGCAGTACATAAAAAATGACATATATGGCAACAGGCAATATGCTATTAGTGTCTCACTACTTAAATATTCCACTTATAGCTGTTGACTGCAGATTAACAAGGACTGCACAAACTTGAACAATTTTATTGGCAAATTGTCTTTGATTGGTCTCTAAAGCCTGCAATATTTTAAAATTTTGAAGATCCTCCATTGCCCTCTCCACACGGATTCTTGACTTTGAAATTTTTCTTCAAAGTATGGCTTCAGCCTTGGTGAATCTTTCTTTGCCACTTAAAAAAGCAGGCAAATTGAGAGATACTCCTTGTGGCAGTATATCATGGAGAAGAAAACCCTTGTCTGCCAGTATAAGATCTCCAGCCTGTAAAATTTAAGAAACACAAAAAGCTCAAAAGTAATTCTCAAAATGTTTTCAAAACATTAAACTTTATTTATTTTGGAGTGATTAGAAACAAAATATTACATTTGGGGATTAACAATTTGGCATTTTTCACTAAATACATTTTGAAAAATATATTTTGTTGCGCATCATTTACTTAAATTCAAATACAAGAAACTATTCTTCAGTTGAGTTGATCAAACTGGACTTCAGTTAATTTTGTGCAGAAATTTCAAATTGGTTAAAGAATTAAAAATTTGATATTCTATGCATGTTACAAGTAGGGACTTACCTTCAAATGGCTGACCTTCAAATGGTGTCCCCTACCTTCAAATGGCTTAAAATGTTCTTTTTAAGATTCTTGGGTGATATCGTAAGATTCTTGAGTGATAACTTTATCACTGGTGCTTCCAGGATATACCTCACTCACAAAGGTTATTTTCCCATTAGGAGCAACACCAATGAGATATTTTGCTGTTAAGTTATGCTTGTAGTTACTATATACAAGATTTGCTGCTTCCAGGTCCTTCCTTGGGGCTGACAAACGGAACTCTATACAGTCTAAAATGATACGGCAGTTTGAAAAGTCACCAAAAGACTCGGGCATAGTTGACTGATACTTGGCAAGGGATAGAACATTTTGCATCAATTTTATAAAGATAATCTCATGTAGTAGATGAATATATGTGTAGAATATATTGGTTATGGTTGTTCTGCTAACTCCAAATCTTTTAGCCAAATCAAAGAGTGTGACATCAAGCTTGAGCTTCATCAGGAAAACCAGAAGTTGGTCGGAGTGACTTAAAGATAAAATCCAAGACATACCAATACTTCAAAGGTTTAAAATGAGCCAAAAATTGACTCAGTTCTTCAAAAGCAATCTTAGTTAATGTGGTATAATTCTGTACATCTTTATTATTCAATTTTTCATAACAAAAAACTTTGCCCTGGAGTTCTTTAATTTCTGCCATGGCTTCTTGTAAAACACCCTTTACTCCGGCAAGGTTCTGATCCAGATTGCAAGCAGATTCTTCAGTGGATTATTGCATTGTTACATCAACACTGCTGCTCATGCTACTATATTCAGCCAAGTCCGTGGATGTTTCCCCTTCACCGGCCATATCTCCTGTAACCACCATGGCTTCATGTTCACTTCTCGCTTTCTGAGCAGCTCTAGATTGGCGCTTTGGTTCTCGTTCATCAACCTCATTTCCCTCAATTTCAAGCTTGGGATTGCAGTTCTCTTTAATCTAAGCCTTCAGAATTGGGCTGGTGTATCAGACCTTGGCTGAGAATAACCAGTTCTTTCAAAATGTTTGCCAATGTGAGAATAACACGAATGACAACTTTTTCGGAACCAACCCGACATGACGAATTCTGATCTCCCAAGCTTTCGAAAGCTTCTTTTCACTTTCCTGTCTCTCCTTTTACCGATAAAGTTTTGCATGACTCCAACAGAGCCACACGTCAGCTTGAAGAGGCCTCATTGAAAATAGAAACTTGTCATCTTTCATTAGTTTTCAGATTTTCAGGTCCATCAAAGATCCCTTCTTTAAGTTTCTCAAGACTCAGTCCAGTATATGATTTGCAATATTATATGAAGCCCTGCCCATCTTCGTCCAGAGCTTTCAATAACTGTTTGATCAGTCCCAACTTTTTATGTAGAGGAGGGAGTATTATCCTGTCTCTAGATACAAGGGGTTTGTTTATTATATTTTTGTCTCCAGCTCTGAGCGTTTCTTGAGGTTCTCCATCCTTTTTTACCAAATGGTTGACTTTATTACAATAGTCCCACATACATAAGAAGCACATATGTTTTGTATAGCCAGATTGCTGTTCAAGCATGCAACTTGGTTTGCTTGTTTTCACCTTAGGTTTCCATAGGTAACAATCTCAATAGGCAAGCAGCACAATGATGGAGAACCTGGATTACACTAATAAATAATTTTCGTGCTAGCAACGACTGATGTTTACTTTTTGCAGGTTGCAGATATGAAACAGTTGATGTTAAATAGTATAAGGATACAGGCAGGCCTTGGGAACCCCCCAAAGACATACCACACTGAGGATGCAAACTTTCAAAAAAGATTTTCATCTCATCTGTAGATCTCCTCTAAATTACTGAAGATGAAGAAAATCTGCAGCAAACCATTACTGTGTCAGCGGTTTTCAATTGCAAGCAAAGTGTCGGTTGTTATTTTAGTCAGGGCTGTTAAGTCACTTTTTAGGTCGAATTGTGCAAATTGTGATACTAGCATGAAACTTTGCAAGAGGGGACAGTTTGATACGCTGAAAAAGATAGGATATGGACCCCAACTGAAAATCGCCCGCTTCGGCTATTTTTAGACTGAGATACTTTGCCCCAAGCCCCTAAAGGCGCTATTACAATACATCTTCTGTAAGTAGGTACAATAGCACAAAACTTTGTAATAGAGGGCAGTTTGATACGGTACAAAAGATAGGATAGAGAACTCTTTTTAATAGCTGATACTAGCTGAAAATTGCCCCCTTTTTATATTTTTAAACTGGGGTACTTTGCTGCAGACCTCTTTAGACCGTGGTATCGTATCCCAGCTGACTTTGTTCCTACAGCATGAAACTCTACAAATAAGGGCAGTTTGATACACTGAAAAAGATAGGATATGGACCCCAACTGAGAATTCTATATCTTTACTGGGAGTAGACACAATAGCAGGAAGGCAGCCTATTGGCTCGGAAGTGCCTCTAAATATTAAGTTGTTATTTCAATAAGCCACCGGTTCAAAAACTCAGTGTCAGTAAAATGCTTGGGAAATAAAAATTACACAGACTATTGCAAAGAAGAAAATTAGCTTTGCATAAAAAATTTAAAACATCAACTATGTGAATAAAGGGAAAATTACTTTTTTGGCTCATTCTAGGCCAAAAAACACCTCTTGGTTTATAAACCCGTATATTAACTCAACAGAAGCAGATAAAACATTTGCATTTCTATTCTTTAAGCAGCAACCGCTGCCACCATTGCTCAGTTGCCGCAGTCGCACTTCATGAACGAGAAGCTGTTTACTTTGAAATAGCTTCCTGGTACAACTGTTTCTCAATGCTAAGGATATAGGAGGGAAATACAGAATTCACCCTTGGTTTAACCGCCAAATGCTCAAAATGTCCATTTTAACTCAACCTGTTTGCAAGATGCATTCAACAAAGATATCCCATGTTTTATCAGCTATGTTTCTATGTACCACAAGAGTTTATTAATTTTCTGAAGCCTACAAATCTCCTTTGCTTATATGTTGAGTTCGGGTGGACACCATAAACAATGAACAGTGTGATGAACTTTGATGGACACTTCCATTAAAGAAGTTAAACCTCATTGATATTATATTTTCTGATTTTCGTGAGACTACCAATTTTTTTCTTGCCTAATAAAGGTGACTATGAAAATTGATCTGCAAAAGTCATACCCCTCTAAAAGCCATAAATGCTAGTGACGAATTCCAGCAGGATATTAAGGAAGTAAATAGTGGAAGCTTTTTCTTAAAATTCTAAACTATTTTTATTGGTAAAGAAAGTTAAGAATCTTCACTTCCAGCTATACCAACAAAGATTACTAATTCTGTTATACAGAACGATAATCCTGACATATTTGATCAAGTTTCAAATGAAAATAAGGGTAGCTACACACAATACAGTTAACTCAAAATTTTAATTTCTTCAAGCTTTTTAATTGCTGTAGTTGATAAGGTGCTTGTCTTCAGAGTTTTTTTAATTTCAACATTATGGTTGAGCCCCCAAAGTCTCAGGAGCCCCACCCTAAATGCTGCCTCTAATTTCGAGATTTTGAAGTACTGGTAACATCTTTTTACTCTTTATTTCTAAAATTGTCAGTTTGGAATCCATGTATTCTAGCATTTTTTAAATCGTTATTCTTTTATAGTCATATGGAAAACTGTAATTTGTTGAACTTTGCACTTTTAGCCTGATGTCTGGTATAAGGCTAAAAGTTTATCTAAACAGCTGCACAAAGCTTCAAAGGGGAAAGACTGTGAAGGGTTGAAAGAATGGATACCAAGCATTGTTAACCATTTTTGGTACTCATGTCAAGTAGTAAATGGCGATGTTAAAAACTTTGAGACTGCTGGCTTGGCACAGTGCATCATGTCTGTGGAGCACACACATGATTATCTTCCAAGTGCATGCATGGGCCTATAGTAGAAAAAGAACCAAATACCTTTATGTGCAAAGAATCAAAAGCAGCTAAAGCACTTAGGTCAGGTGTTTTTGACAAAAAATTCCTTGCCAACCTCAAATAATATGTCAGATTCAGACATACAGGCAATGTAGAAAACACTACCAGCATGCTCATAAAGTATGCCCCTAAAAGAGTTGCATTCAAGTATATTTATTTTATTGCAATGATTGCTCTGGCAGCCATGGATCACAACCTTCATTTGTTCAAACCACTAGCCGTATCAGGTAACAAACTCGTTTCCAGTTTCTTCTTCCCACAAAGACACTGCTTGCAGCATTTATTTCCCCTATCTTTACAGGGGCAACCGGTCTTCCTTCCACTTTTTTTGAACATGTTGTGCTGCAGATTCATGTTTCTCGCTGAAATTTAGTATGAAGAGAATAGTCATAAAACGTTCAAGAATTTTAGGCTGCCATGCGTGTACAAAAAAAAATTTAGGCTGCCATTGGAATTTTAGCAGTGTTTCTATAATTGTCATGATAAAACCATCAAAATTGAATTACCTGAGTTGTTCATCAAAAACTAATTCAACTTCTCCTGACACACTCATCCTTTCTCGTCTATTTCTCCTAGACAAAATCTGATGCAAACAAAAAGTTTGCTCCAGGTCTTGTTTTTTTTCAAGGGGTGTTTTGCGATTGTTACGATGCGCAATGCATACTGGTTGACCAGGGCCCTTCAATTACAAGCGGATCCTTCTTTCTTTACGAGCCCAGGGGCAATTCCTCCTCTTACCCACTCTCGTTGGGCCTGTTTTATAATAAAAGAAGTATCTAGACTTCAAAAGCTCCAGGGCTCCGCTAAGGTAGCTACTGTACTGGACTCGTAAAGGGCCAAAAAGGATGCATTTGAATCCATTAAAAAATGCTTGAAGATTGGGTTTTTGTTGAAAAATTATAAACTATCATACTATAAACCAAACAGAACTTTCATATTTTTTGAAAGCAAGAGGTTAAAACCGAATTACGAGGAATCAAAAATCTAGAGTTCAACAAAACGTGTTCTCAGCGTGAAGCGTCCGGAAGTTCAGCAATAACTGATTGAAATGTCAATCACTTAATATAACAAGAGTCATCATAATGATAATCATATATTTTCAACACGTCACAAATGTTATACTGTATTGAAGTAGGTAATAGGTAAGCTAATGAAGCAATTTCAATCCTATCTGCGAACAAAGTTCTTCATATCTTGGTTTTGGTAATCCTTTAGTCATTATGTCAGCAATCATCTCTTCAGTCGACAATAAACAAGGTCCATCTCTTTCTTTTCTGTAACTTTCCTGCCGTTATGAAACTCAATGGGATATGTTTCGTTTGAGAATGACTTTTCGGATTTCGTGAAAGAGCTATTGTTTCTTGATTAATTTCAGGCCATGCTTGGGAAAAATGATAGGGGTGCGATGAACTGCACTCCTTGTGGTGCTAAGGCTGGTGTGCTACTGCACCAAAGTACTTAATAGTACATTCAGCTGTATATAGACTAGACAACATAACTTTATTTTAAGAAAACATATCACAAGGCTAGTCCAATTTTTATTAAAAAAGCTTTATTAACGACAAAACCAATATATTGAAAAGAACAACATCAACAATAAGGTAGGTTAATAATATGCAATCCTGCAGTTTATAAACCCTTCTTGTCTGCTTCTACTAAAGAAAGTTAATCTGTTGACTAATGTTAGAACGAAATAAATTGTTAATTACACGTTTTTTATTTTTGCCAGTGGAAGTTTCTAAATATTGTTGGCCTTCTACTGGTTCTTACAAAGCACTTTCTTATAAAAATTTTTGTGTATGTAGTAAAAATTCTATTCCATTGAACCATCATTTTCTTCGCTGTCCGAACAAGAAGATTCTGATTCAATGTTGAAGTCAGAGTGGCTTTAATCACTGCCGGAATTTTCTTCAATTGCAGAACATTGAGCCAGCGCATTTGTAGATGCAATTTTTTCGGCATCTGTGTTTTTGTTTGTGAAAACAGTTGTTCTCCTCTTTTGCATGTATGCATCCACCACACAATTGATAACCATTTCCTTACCTCTCTTGACCAATTTTTGTCATTGGATGCTATAATCATGCACTTTTTCCATTATGTCATATGACACTCCAAGGCGGCGGGCAGAAAGTACTAGAGAAATAATGTTGAAAGACCTCTCCACTGAGGAATTAGATCCTGACATGCAGAAGGCTAATTCTACCAGTAATGCCATATTGGCAAACTCTTCGCGTCGGAAACTGCGAATCTTTTTCTAAATTTGCAGCACTCCATCTTGGAATACAAGGATCGTTGTAGAACTTTAAGAGAGCTCCACTCATAGAACTCGAAGCCAGCTGCCGTCATGAGGGAATCAAATTCGACACACAACCTGTTTATTTCTGCATTGCCATACATCTTGTTGCTATTGTCCCAAAGTTTTGGGTCTAGCCAGAACTGATCGTATGTGGAGAAGCGAGTGTCAATTTTTGGAAGTAAAATGGTGGTTTTTCTATGCTGGAGAAGTCAACATCGGTTATCTACTCCAGATGAAAAACAATGTATTCACGATCTTGACAGCTTTTTCTATGCTGGAGAAGTCAACATCGGTCATCTACTCCAGATGAACAACAACGTTTTCACGATTCTTGGTCTTTCGCTTTTTGTGCCTGTTGTGTGTTTCAGAGAAGTCAATACAGTGCTCACCAAGATTTCTGACTGAGACTAGAAATTCATAAGCTCAACTGAGCCCCCTTTTATACACCGGTTGTTTACGAATTATACACGGTTTTGCACGATGTTGTGTATTGAAGTAATCTTGCTGCTTTTGTCTGTAGACAGTTTCTTTGTCGTTCAGCTTTCTGAGATCTGGCCACTTTGGTTCAAGTTGAGTATGAGTTCTTCTAACATTGTGAGTGGGATCCATGTAATCACACAACTGCATACCCTGTCTATAAATATGTGTGATAGATAGTTTCCTGATTCCATATTCCGTATTCTGGACTCCATATTCTGGATTCTGTGTTTTAAAGGTAGCCTTGTAAAATCCCTAGATAAGTCTTTTCAAAACCTGAAAGACCTGACGTAACTTCTTCATGCCATGGTAAAATAATTTCATCCCTTAATGACCGTTGGATTACCAATTGCTTCCTTACTGTTTCCCTGAACCTAGCGTTACCTTTGTCAACATGATATAAGATTTTATTCCCCATAAAACGATCTTCACTAGTTGCCATAAACTTATGTGCTTCCTTACATTCAACAGGTATGTTGTCCTTGTTCTTGCATATCTTTCACTCGGTCATTGTAACCCTTGAACCTCTACAGTAGATACATAACTATCGTTATTCTTAATATGATTGCATTCACATTGCAATATTCTTAATATAATTGCATGCATCCTTAATATAAATGCTATAGTCCTCTCAACTTCACCAATTTGTTGTGCAAGATCCGCATCTATACCCATTTGAGAGGTCAGTATGGAGAGTAAATTTATGATCAAAATTTGGATTTGATAGAATCCATGCTGACAGCAAAGCGTTTCTTAAAATTCTAAATGCAATATGACCTTGTTCATTCCAATAGAATATTACACCTTTTTAAAGCAATGCATTTATTGAGGTAGCTATATTAGCAAAACCTTTGATAAATATATGAAAATATTAAACAAGTGCTATGAAACTTCTTACTATGAAACAATTTGTCGGAACTAGTTAGTTACGTATTACAGCAACTTTCTCAGAGTAAGGTTTTATACCATCCTTTCCTACGATGTGCCTTTAGTGTGCCTTTAGTAGAGAACCTTTGGTTTGGAAAAATTACACTTTATTGGTTTTAGTTCACATCCCTCAGTTCTAAATCTACCAAATACTAAACGCAGGTTTTCAAGATGAATGACTTAGGAAAAACGATGAAGTAATCTAAATATACCATGCATATATATCATTGTAACCAACTTAGCACTAATTGCATCATTCTCTGAAAAGTGAAACTCGCATTAACTAAACCCATTGGCATTACTTTGAATACAAAATTTCCTGCACGAGTACAAAAGACAGTCTTCTCCATATCTTGGGGGTCCATAGGGACTTGATAGTACCAAGAAGCTAAATCTAGAGAAGTAAAAAAGCACGAATCTCCCAGGAATTTTGTCTATCCTAGGAAAAATTTGCTTTTTGATCCCAAGTTTAATTTTTTAAAATCAACACAAAATCACTAAAGGTTGTGACCATGGGCTATCAGACAGTTAAATGATACCATTCTGCAGCATGCTATTATGTGCGTATCCATCATGTCTTGTTGGCTATGGCCTTTGTCTTATAGGTGGGTATTCCCTGTATCTATTCTGTGCAAAAACCTATCAGCCTTGCCTAAATCTATATCCTTGGTAACAAAAACGCCTTCATATTCCATCAGAAGTGAAATTAAACGAGTTCTTTTATACCAAGTAATGTAGAATCAGACATGCCAATATCATTTAGCCAATTGAAGTCATAATCAAAAGAGTCACAGACTTTCTGCACTAAATTGATCTTTCCATCAACAATTTCAGCCCTTTCTATGCTTTGACTGAAGGGTCTGAAAAAACTTTGACTGAAAAATTATTAGTGTTTACAAATTTAACAAGAATGGTTTCGTTCTCTACAGAAGCAATAGTTCTTGCAGGGTAAATGACAGATTCATTCTTACATAATAAATCATTTTTTGGCTCAAATACAACTGTACCTTGCAACCTTTCGATACTTCCCTTTAAAATGGCTTTACTACGCATTGGGGTGTCTAACCATTGCAAGAGGTTGACCCATACCTGCTGGCGTTTCCTAACAGCACTGATAGGTATCCTAGTGTGACCAATGCAGGCTTATAAGTTACACAAGTCTATGCGCTTGACTTGGTTAAAAAGTCAGTGCCAAGTAAGAAAGAGTACTTAAAGTTACTTCCAACGTAACACTCAACCAACCAATAACTATCTTCTACAACCAGATTTATTGTTGTACAACCTAGAATTTGCAATTCTTCTCTCGTGACACACTTGGCTACAATGTCACAAAACAAATCAACAAATCACTACTTATGATGGATATACCTGATACCTGCTTCCAAACCTAACACAATTGCTGTGTCGTAACTTTCAATATTTATGTTAACAATTTTTTTGCGGTACAGAATTTGAAAATGGCTTTGAAAAAAGCAAACATTTTACGACATACTAAAAGGTCGTAAAATGTTTGCCTTTTTCAAAGCCATTTCCAAATATTTATGTTACAAGTTATGCACTGCCACGATTCATTAGAAAAGAAATTTATACTAAAACTGTTCTGAGGATTTTTTTCCTTTTTAGCTACCACACACCTCAAGTTTTTTTGTTTCTGGCATCCATGTTTTTTTAAACATGCTTTTTCCGAGTGTCCTACTTTCATGCAGAAACCGCATATTGGTCACCTATCCATGCAACGTAAATGCCTGCTCAAATGGTTGCTTGTTCTGGCTTGTTCTGGCAAATCTCTGCTTATCTGGTTCCGCCTTCTTTTATGGTGTGTTAGAGGACACCGATTCCTCCAAGCAATCCATGCATTTTGCCATGTCATTTTTTGAACTTTGGACTGACCCAACAAGGACTTTAATGCTTTCCTTTTTGTCCGGTTTCACCCATGGTTAAAAGAAACTTACTATCTGGTGGTGAATTTCTCCCCCTGTTGCTGTTGAATGTTGAAGGGTCGGCAATCAACACTAGGGTCGGCGATTTGTGCTCTCACATAAAGTTGTCTTGGTATTGAGCGGGCATGTCTGCATAGGGTTATTGAATCAATTGTTGGAAATCTTGTCCAAAATTGTTCGCTGAGTCTTGTTCTTCTTGTTTTCTTGAAAAAAGGTCTGGATAGAAACGTCTTCTTGCTTCCTTTGGTAAGTAATGGTTTTGCAGGGTTTCTATGAGCAATTCAATGTCATACTGAACTTCTTTTGGAAGCTAATCCCAAAAGTCAGCATCTCTTTCCTGTAAAAACAGGTAGCACATCTACTTGTCTTTTCTGTGTACACTCGTTGGCTCTTACTGCTCTTTCAAATGCATTTATCCACTTTTCTACATCTTTGCAGGTTTCACCATAAAATTTTGGTGGATTGATTAGATTCTCACAACTGCTGTCGATTTGATGTTTTGCTTTGCTTTGGAAAGTTTATGTACACAATAGTAAATATATTGAGCAACTGAAGTGTAAAAAAAAGTAGCAGTATAAAAAATGTTCCTTTATTTACATCTTACTATCGTGTTCTTTCAGTTTTGGTTCGAGACTATCACCAGTGTGAGGGGCTTCGAATATTTGGCTAGAATGATTTTCCAAGCAGTAGAAAATACTGAATGGAACATAAGATTTGCTTCTCAAGAATACAAATCATAAAATGTTAGCTTTTACAAGTCTAAGAACAGTGGCCTTTTCCGACTAGATTTAAATCACATCAAATATACTTGATACTTGTTTGCTTGGCCAATAAATTTGATCTAGATATTCACAACTGCATTGGTCAATATTATGATTCGTCTAGAAACATAGCTGACAAGTATTCTGAAGCTTCTGCTTGAATTCTTCAATAGAATCCTTCGGCTTTTTATACATACAGTCCCTCTCATACAGGCCTGTGTATTACAAAGTGTGACATAGTGTGCATACCATAGTGTAAACTTGTGTATTGGTTCTGCTTTTAAGACAAGAACGTTAGCATTATGTGAGCTAAAACAGAGATAGAGCCTGGATATCTTGTGTAGCTGATGGATCTTTTTTGGCTATTGCCAGTCAATGTTGACTTTTTTAATACTCCAAAAACTGTAAGGACCGACCTTGGTTATAGTTACCTACTGTGCAACATGAGATTGTTGAGGTTGAAATCTTGAAAGGGTTTCAAATAGTGAAGACAACTATTTTTTCTTTGCAAAGAGGCAGATGCGAAATTGAAACAAATCACAGACAACATTTTGAAGATGCTTGTGAAATAGCAGACAAAGTTCAAATACCAGTAATGGCCTATAGAGTCTGCAGAACACACAGGTCTAGAAATATGTTCAAGCTTCTGATTTACACTGTCAGTATAAGTAATGAACGATTTGTGTTCAATTTTCAGGTCCCGTCATCTCGTACCCACTGACATTAGGCAACATGGTTTTGAGCCTGTAAATGTTAAGGGCGATGGAAACTGTATTTTTCGAGCGGCCTCTATGCACATTTACAGTACCGAGAGGAATTGGAGCTGGGTGAAACTTCGCACTTTGAATTTTGGTTTACTTTCCATGGATACCATTGTTGAACAAGTACGTACTACAATATAGGATCTACATCAGGATTACCTAGGATCTTTTAAAGAATCCTTTTAAAGAAGACTTCAAATAAATCTCCTTTAGAAATTCGCCAGTGATTCCAGATTCAATCTCTCACTCGCTAGCTATGTGTCATTGGCATTATTAACGCTTGAAAACATAACTGAAGAATGTGGTGTTGTGGTCTTAGGTTTTTTGTGACGGACCTTTCCCATTGTGTAATATAGGGATCCTTCTGTGTATTGTTTGTATGCTCCAAATGTTTATATATGTTTTTCCTACAAGATTAACGCAGTTGACATGGACAAGAGAAACCTGGCATTTCATTTAACGACAGATGGCGTTGCCTCGAAATACCAAAATATTTCAGATGACCTTTCGTTGAATTTCTATTATAAATTACAATAAATTGCTCGCCTAGTTTCCTCAACATCCTGAGAGATAATCATTGTTAATCAGATTTCACTGAACCTTATTGAATTTGTTGTTGAGCTAGCAAGCTGATTTAACCAAGGGTTTTTTCAAGATTTTGTGAGGTTTGTGCAACGTATCAATCAGTCTTCTTAAACAGAATGAACTATTTAATGATAATTTTGGGGACACAGGAAACACTACTTAACGATCCTTTTCCTTTGCAACATGATCTTAATCCTAATGAAATACTTCAACTGTATTGGAAGGGTGGTTAATTAAGCTAGCAGACAAAACTCGATTTGTTTCTCTTACTTAAAAAACCTAGTAATGTTTTCTTGCTAAATTTTTCAAAGTTGCACATATTTTGTTAGATACTTGGTAAAATCATTTAACTTGGTAAAAGTGTTAAACTTTGAAAATTCAAGTTCTTTGTGCATGATGATTCTGCTGTTTCAGTTGAATATATTTTCAATTGTGCTCCTATTTTTATTTTTATTTCAATCCTAATTAAATTCATTCTAGATGAGCTATTGCTACACGTAAAATCCTTTTAAGATCCTATGAACAGAAATTTCTCATAAGGCATTTTCCTTGCTAGCTATACTTCATATGATGATGATATCTGGTGCTTTTGGAATAAGGATACATTCCTTTTCGTCAAATGTGCTTTGAATTGGCAATTTGGATCTGAAGATCTCGAAGACGTATGTCGATTGCTGTGGGTTCCGTCAAGCCTTAATGGTCCTATCAACCATGTTGTTCTCTTGGTACACTTGGAACCAGAAGAACGAGCTGAAGTTTGCTGCAGCATCCAATTCGATCATGCAAATGTATGCTCTTTTTCGCTGGGTGAAACCACCTCTTCAGAAATCATGGTCTGTCAGCATTGCTTGCGGGACTATCACGTAAGGTGTGTAATGGCAACTGCCAGTGACGACAACTGGTCATGCTTCTGTCATTTAAAAGCTGATTCGTTATCAAGGTAGGCAATTTTACATTTGCTTTGTCATTTTCAAGTTGAATTAGATAGACCAATGCCAATTTTTAAGCTTGGTGATTTAAAAAAAGGGAATGCCTGCGACAATTGTACAATTTTTCTGCTCCATTTTGTGAAATAATTGTAACCTACTCCATCCTCTTCTTATTCAATATATTGAAAAAGTTTATCCTTTGGAGATATAGTTTAAGTCTCTCTTTTTCTAATTTCTTGTGTGGGTGTTGCAAGCTATCAACCAACGTATGTACGTTAATAATAGTATGTATTATGTACCTATCAACCAGCTCAAGTTGACTGATGAAATGAAGAAGTTGCTACACAGGTATTCACCAGACATAAAGGTAGGTTAATCTATTCTATAGCCTATGGTATACGCTAGGGTAAAAGATATTGCGGCTTGATTACCTATTTCAATTATTTCATCCATACCCTCCACATTGCTATACTGGAAAATATCTGACAGTGAGCCCTACATTTTGAAGTGCTTGTAACGTTTGTCAATTGCCGTCATCGTAAGGGCAAGGTGTGAGAAAATATCAAATTTTATTGCGCTTCATTATTTTACCTAAAGGCTTCTCCCCGCAAATCTATCTTTTTTCATGGGTCATAACCTTCATCTGATAAAGTTGCTAAATGAACTCTGTAAAAGTCTCTTTGATGTGTCGTTTTATCAGTGTATGCTATATATGCATTTATTGGATTTTTGCTATGCATATCTGCCTTACAGTAGTGTCTTGCGCGATTACACGAAAATTTTAGGTTTCCAACAGTTTCCGAGCCATATAAAATTTACTTCCACTACCACTGATAGCTGAATAATATCATTTCAGTTGCAAAGTTCATTCACCACGAATTATCAGATAATATTAGCCAGCAAACAATCTGTCTTGGAAAAGATAATTTATTATTCGTATATGATATTATTACAGAACTTCATTACTGACATGGCAAAGAAAGAATTTTACTCTCCAAGACTGGCACTGTTTTTAAGAGGAGTGAAAATTTATTGCGCCGATCCTCACAAAGAATATGCCTAGTTAGTGATGCATCGGTAAGGGCTTTTAAAGTTTCTAAACTGTTTTCATTAGTTCCAGTCTTATTATCAGACCTTTCTTCTTGTACCATGTTAATTCTCTATGACCTATCAGTTCCAATCACTTTCAATCCTAATAATTTGTCTTTTATTTAGTGGGGCAAAGTTGTTGAACACCCTTTTCGCAACACAAATCCTATTTCAAGATTTAGAGGCTTGAGCGTGCCGCAAAAAATTTCCCTGAACACGGGTGTAATAGCTTTTATATTGTCAAACATGATTCATCACATAATATTATATTGGTTATCCCAAATGGTCATCTTGTCGTTATTCATAATTGCAATCATCTCCTTGTGTCTGGAGATCAAAATTTTGTCTACAAATTGTTCTTGTACCAATAATAATCGGAATGGCGCATAGCTGTCCAAATTATGTCATGCTAAGCGCCAATGTTAAGACACATTTATAGAAAAAATACGCAAAAAAGTTCTTTTATCGTCACTGATCATTGAAACAATTCCATCAACATCGTAAATTCAACATATTCCAATTAAAGGCTTTTTGAAACGATAAACTGTAATAGGGCACATACATAATCAGTGTCTTTTTTGCTAAGTCCTAATGTTTTGATAAACATTGACAATTTTAACAAAAAGGTTGGTTAATTTCTCTCTCAAAATAGACAAAGATTAACTTTTTTCTTAATATCGTCTTATTTATTTGTAGAATAATTTATCTTATGTTGCTTTTTATAAGAAAAGTTTTCCATGTAAGGGCTCACACCTTTGAAAAAACACAGAAAAGGTTAGAATTTTTATATATGACGATAAAATATGATCAAATGAATTAATCATGGCAAATGAATAGGGTGTCAAACAAGTTAAGCGTTAAAGTAAGAAAAGGGTGAATGTTTGAAGCTTCAGAATCCTTTTTCTTGTTTAAGTGTGTAATTGCAGTAAAAAAGAAGCAGCTTGATGTAGCTGAGAAAATTCTCTTCATTCATGTACGACACTTGACTCTTGAGCGTCTTCAGTGTTGCATTTCTCTGCTCGTTGATTTGGGTGTTGATTCGGTCATATGCTGGTTGAGTAGAAGCATTGTAGCTTTCAGCACAAGCTAAATATAAGAAATATACCTTTAATTCAAATGGCCCTTGACGCATTGGGATTGCAGGGACAGCTCTGTCCTCCTACCAATTGGACAAAGCTTAAAATAAATGTAAATGCTATCAAATATATTGCTTTTCTAGCCTATCGTTGACAATTCAAATCCTTCTATTTCGACAATCTTTTCGTATTGTAACTATCACTGGCTATATACATTTGAGCTAGCTTCCAATCATAAAGTACTGTCTCGCAATAATTCTTCATTATATTCGAGTGTATGTTGTACTGAAATGAGAGCTCTTTTGTTTACACTCATTTCCATTTGAAAAATTATCTTTAATCTGATTTTCATTTTTATTCAAATTAATGATCAATAAAAAGATGTGGTATCACTGTTCGACACAAGAAAAAAGACCATAAGGTAGATAAAAACGTAGAACAAAGATTGTTGTATATCTTTCATCCGTATATTTATCACAGGGGGCACAGTTATTTGCAACTGCTTCGACAACAACAACAATTTACAAACCTTTATGATTCTTCCAGTGGAATCTGTCTACTAAAAAGTTGCATTGTTCAAAGAAGCCAAGGTCTCTGTTTAAGCAGTAATGATGCAGATGGCAACAGTTATCATATATTATTGCTTCAGGGGCTGTAAAAGAAATAAATAGGCCAACGAGAAGGCCAACAAATTACTTGTAAGAGGAAACAATAAGCGATGAAAGACATGATGAAAAACGCTTTTAAACATATCAATTTTTACACTGCTTTCGGTATTAAAATTTAAAAAAAAAATTAAAATATACAAAGAAAATCAAATCGACACAATCAAAAAGAAACGATGACTCTGATTACAGGAGAAAATCTTCGTTGATTCCAAACAAAAATAATTCAGTTTGGAAAAGATCCTGTTATTTGATGCGTCTACACATTTGGACATAATTGGCTTTACATTGTTACCAGATGTTTTCCCAAGATAGATTTTGCGTTTCCATTGCTAGTTTCGAGAACATTGTCATTCGATACCAAACTCCGAAACGATGCTGAAAATGTGGAGGCATTCAAAAAGTGGAGCCATTCAAAAAGTGGAGTCATTTCAAAACAATCCTTCAATCTGAAACAATCTTCAAGATAACAGCACGTATTACTAAAACAAGATCAAATCACTTATTATGACAATAGCTTGATGTGATAAATCCTGTATAAATACCTTCAGGCAATTTAGTTTGCATAATTGTGAATGGGACATTGGCATTGCATCATTTCAAAACCGTAGCAGATTTCTGAATAGATAAAAAAGGTGTTCCTAAAACAAAATTTCGGAAAGAAAAAGCAAAAGTTGCCAAACGAGAGGTCATACGGAACGAGTTCATAGAAAGTTCAATATTTTTTAATCACGAAAGCTGTTGACAGAATCATCCGTTCTGAAGCAACGATTTTTGTCAGGTTTGTTAATAACTCATGAGATTTCCTTTTTGGATGACGACTAACTATTTTATAACAAACGGAAACCATGCTATATGTTTGGTGGAAAGTTCAAGACAACAATACAATTTTCTCTGAAGAGCAACTGCACTGATAAGTTAACTCCAAATGGGCACCTCAGATATATATGCTACAATTTAATGACATATTTTTTCTAAAGCAAAGAACATTAATCAAAAGAGCATACCGTGTTGACAGTAAACTGTGAATATACCAGGCAACAAATTTGGATGACCTCGATATGTTTTAGCACATTCCTCCCTGGTGTCGCTCTTCGTTTTATCCATTGTGTAGGAGCCACGGTCGGATAGCTGTGGCCACGAAGGAAAGAAGCTCAAACTGTTGGATAAGAAACTGTTCGATGTTGAGGTGTCATGAGGCTGGAAATCTGTGACATACCTTGGCTTCACAATTAGTTCTTCAAGCAACGTGATCCACGGCTGTGGCAAAGAAGCAGCAGGAAGACATTTTATAACTCCATAAACAATGGGGGCACAAATCTGAAGCTCGGATAGGGCCTCTGGGTCTTTCCTTATTATCAGCCCAGAGGATAAACGTGCTGCCAAATGATTGAAGGAAGCTGTCCGTGGTATATAAGAACAAACCGCACCTGAAGAAGGTACATAGCTCCCTTGGAAATTGCTCACAGCCTTGAATAGCTCTTCACGAGCTTCTAGCACGTGTAAAATGTTTGGATGTTCGTGGCTTAGAAGTGTATTTAGTGATGCTCTTTCTACGCATTCCAAATATTTGATGAAACAAGTTTTCTTAGTAACATCCTGGTTTTCCTCTTCTTGATACAAACTCGTTGGCTGAAGCTAGTAATGATACAAAACCAAAGATAGGAATCTTGAATTAGAAATGAAAGAATAAATTTTGCACTCTTCTTATTATCGCCAGCAAATAGAATTATTTAAAATGAGAAAGCTTCAGAATCTGACAGAGTAAAGAATAGAACTGGCCCGCATTTTCATAAAGATCAGAAGTTTTCATAAAGAATTGCTCATATATTGACTACAATAGTCTACGTAATAACTTTCAGAAGTGAAGTTCTTGATGTGGAATTGAAGTAGCCCATCACGGTAGCAATACTATAATGTACGAAAAATTTATCTTTAAGCACAAAAAAGATATCTATCACTTATCTTCCACTGAGCATTACAGGGTTGGCCTCGTTTGGTAGCTCTTCAAGGCCTCGAGAATATTTCCTCCGATAGCCAAGTGATGTTGCATCGCATAAGATTATTGGAGGATATTGTCCACACTTAGAACAAAAAAGGGACTCTCATGTTATCTATCCAGAAGCAGATGATAAAGCAGAAGTTGATAATCACAATCTCCAAGATCTTGAGCCAGTGGGAGATAGTGAGACACTAAGACGTTCTGAAAGAGAAAGGAGAAACCCAAACGGATATGGTGAATGGATAGATACTGAAGCAATTGATCTTGATAGTTTATCTGATGCAGAGAATCTCACAGCAAATGCTTTTCTCTCCATTATTCCAGAAGCAAGCCAAGATCAATAAAAAGATGCTTGGAATGGTGAATATGCAGAGAAATGGGGAGAAGCAACTGACTCAGAGTATGAATCATTGCGCAAGAATGAAACATGAACACTTGTTCCATTGCCTAAGAATAGAAATATTGGAGGCTCAAAATAGGTGTTTAAAGTGAAACACAGAGCTGACGGTACTGTAGACAGATTCAAAGCCAGACTAGTGGCACAGAGATATTCCCAACAACAAGGTGTAGATTATAATAAAGTTTTTGAACCAGTTACAAGAGCAAATTCCATTCGAATAATTCTTTCCATTGCTAATGCCATGAGCATGGACATCCATCAAATGGATGTGAAAACAGCCTTTTTGAATGGCAATTTAGATGTCTACATGAAATCTACATGAAGCAGCCAAAAGGCTATGTAGATACAAAGAATCCAGATTATGTTTGCAAATTGCAAAAGAGTCTGTATGGTTGAAATCAGGCTGCAAGATGCTGGAATAGTGTGATTGACCAGCATTTTAAAGACTCTGGTTATGTTCAAAATAAAGCAGATCCATGTGTGTATGTGAAAAACATTACTAGAAATAACAAGTAGAGCACTTGACATACAAAGTCAGGGGTCGTGAGTTCCAGCCTCGCTTGGGTTGGTTATTTTCCCGCACTCTCTATTAATTATCTTCCAAAAAAAAATCCTGTTGTCTGTAAACCTCTCAATATGCAAAATCAGTTAGATATGTTCAAAATTAGCTGAAATGTGGCCAATGAGAGATTTTAAGTTTGCTAACAGATCACTGTTATTCTGACCTGGTTCATAAACTTATGAACTGAGACCAGATAACAGAGGTTTGATAGGGCCAGAGCTTGTGCTCATCTGGACATATTGTTGGAAATACCTCAACCTTGCAAGTTCACTCGTATAAAATAGCGAAACTTTAGCGAAGAATTCTCTTTTTGCGACTTCACCAAAACTCAACATAACAACTCAACTTGAAACATGATACCCTGCTGTTCTAACTACAAACAGTGTGAATATAAAATGGGGACCCAAGTCCTCATGGTTAAATGGCTATAATATTTTAAACAATATGTCAGGCAATTCGTAATGCCTTTAACTGATTTTGCATATTTACAGCACCCTGAAACAAGATTGTGAAAGCTGTTACTCAGTGTTTTACGCTAATTGGATAATAAGTCAACTTGTTATGTAATTTCATAATCATAATCATAATCGTAATTAATATAAGAATCATTATTAAACAGGTGGTAAACATAAATTTCATCAATTTAATTATTTCATTTAATTGATCTTCAAGCCCTTTTGTTGAAGGAAGGCTAGCAAATGGTAAGAAGAAAGAGAAAGATTTCAAGTTGCATGATTTTATTACGCATGCCCTCTGAATACAGGACAGAGGGTTGCCTCATTCTTTAAAAAACTTTCTCTTGCTCGATTCCCTAACCTCCTTTCCATTGTTATATAATATTCGCATGCTCAGCTCCTCAATATATTCGCTTGTCGCCAGTATTGGTGGTATTCTACTATTTGTTACCAGTCATTGAATGGCTACCTTCAACGACAGTGTCTTGCCGAAAGCTAATAAAAAAGGACGAAGTTCTTGCAAAGGATGTAACAAGGTATATACAAATCGCAGCAAGCCTCAGTTTTTGAATGTGGTTTCGAACTGGGAGGAAAGTAAAACCTTTCTCCAGACAAGCATCCTGCAAAGAAGAATAACAGCGTCACTATATATAGGCAAAGCTCTGGTGATTGTCTTTGTTCTGTGAAGCTTACCCCAAACGACAACTGATCGTTTGTCTTCTCAAATGAAAACAAACAAATATGTTTCGTTCGAAAGTGCTTGACCTTGCGTGGTAGTTTTGCTACCAGTGGCAAAGGGGCAATGTTCACTTGTGCACATTTGCTTGAAATACTAACTGAGCCATTTTATGCAGTGTCTTTCTCGCCCAAAGAAATATAAACGTTTACTCCAGACAAAGAGATTCAAGAAGCACTAGAGGCAATTCAAGACAGTTCTTTACCAACTGTGGTCAAAGTATCTTCAAAAAGTTATGAGGTTAAAGGTGTTCCCTTGACCTCCAACTCGATGGGCTATTCTCATGTCGTGATAGACCATTTTCAAGGAAAAGAACAGCTAAAATGCACCTATGAGCAGTGAAAGAAAAAGTATGGAGGAACAAAACAGGTAAGATTGCCCAAATGCAGCTTTTCATCTCTTTAGCACTTTTTCCCAAAAAAATATATAAACCAGGTGCAATACCAAATAGACATAAGACAATTTGGATTTCGTTCAATCTCCATTGCCATACTCTTATATCATCAATTAACACTTGGTTTTCAAAGTTTAACTGAATATTCTATAAGTAAGTCAGGCAGAATATAATTATTCACCAGTTCTAAAAGGCTAATTGAAATTGTTCCTTAATGGGATATCAATGGCATGATAAAGCTTTTGTTCACTTTGCCAAGTAAGGAATTTGCCCAACTGAACATATGCCAGCTGAGACCCCAAAATCTCTCTTCAGAATCAAAATCTCTCTTCAACATCAAAATCTCTCTACAGAATCAAAAGCCACCCTGCATGGTACCACTGCCATTCATACATTAGATTATTGAGTGGAGTTATGTTTCTTAAAGGCAAAGTTATGTTTCTCAGGTTTTTCAAGGCAAAGTTTGCTTGCATATTCATTTTGTTGCACTTGCAAGAAAAAAATTATAAAGAACATGCCAACGGATTGATGGAAATAAGTGGTAGTGCTCAGTCACTTCAAGAACAAGAATTGCCAATGTCATTTTTATCCACCCTCACTCTACTTATCCTGAGGGAGTTGCCGTACAAGATTCCAGTGCCCATATTAAATATGGTCAATAATCTGCCAATTGAAACGGGTTTTGGTAGACCTTGTTTTGAGCCTACTGATAACAGTTGCTTACCAAAGCAATGTTTGGGGAGTGAGGGTGCTAATGGAAATGGTGTGCTTCTCACTAATGAAAAACCATATTTGGTTATCAACATAAAAATGAAGCGATGCTCGCTGCCAAGTTGTGGTGCCACTTATCAGTTGTTTTGTTATGAGTTAGGTATGAATCGTGAATTGTCATTTCACACCTTTTAATGAAAAGACCTATATATCCTTTATTCTTCCCCTTCTCTTGTGTGGCCTTTTACCTAGCTAAAAACAGGATAAAGGCACTTGATGTTGTAACATTACATTTAACTATTCTCAATCTATAAGTGTACAAATGCTTTTTTGTTCCAACCTAAACTTACATAGCAAACCCTTACTAACCTGGGTAACCGGGTCGCAGAAATTTTTCTTTCAATCATTATTCCTATTGACATAAATGAAGACCTGATTTGACAATCATTCATTCGAATTTCCTTTCAGGGCTTTTTAATGTGCGTAACAAAGTCCTTGTCGCCCTTGATATTTGTCTCGAGTGGAGAGAGCTATTTAAAGCAGGAATGCCATTGCACAAAGCTATTGAAGCAAAGTTGAAGGCTTTGCAATTAAAAGTATCTAAGGTGATTTTTCTATATTTACGGCTGAAACATGTGATACTTGCTAAGAAATTACGAAATTTAGAAACAGCGCTAAAACTGTGTTTCAACTGACGATTTAGAAAGAATTAGTAGAAAGATACTTGATAGTGCTCTCTCTTTAAAGCAAAACCATAACGCCTTGGCAGCCTATTGGTGTCTAGAAACTGTGTGTTAATGATTATTGCACACAAGCTATAAATGCATTCCCAACAAAGAGTAAGTCACTCTGGAGGACCATCAACAAAATGGCAAGATTTGTTCCCAATTTTGACGAGTTCAATGCAATGACTGACTCTATTTGGAATATTACGACAATTCACAGAGAACATTCCTGCTACAATTGCCTGGTGTTGGCAGAATGGGCTGCTTTCACGAATGATGTTATGTGAGCGCTGTCATGTTGGTGCCTTCAATAGATGCCAGGATGGGGTAACATGACGATGCCCACAATGTCAAAGAAGGTTTAACATACGCAAGGGGAGTTTCTTTGAAGGTTCGAAGTTGCATTTGTGGCAAATAATAGGGCTTACCTATTTCTGGAGTTTAGACTGTGGACGAACAAAGGGCCTGTCGCAGAAGCAGGTCCTCAAGCAACTTGAAATCAAAAGCGAACACACGGTGGTTGATTGGAAGCAATTCTGCCGCGATGTCTGTTTGGAGCATTTTCTTAACAATCCGCAACAGATTGACGGACCTGGCCGCATTGTGGAAATTGATGAGAGCCTGTTCGCCAAGAGGAAATATAATTGCGGCAGAATTCTTTCTCAAAACTGGATATTCGGAGGATATGACCCGGTCGACAAAAAAGGGTTCCAGGTTCCAGTTCCTCGAAGGGATGCTGTAACCTTGCCAACAATTTTGCAAACTTGGGTTGTGCTTCCATCGTATGTTCAGACATGTGGCAGGCATATAACCAAGTAGGGAACATCGGCTACCAACACAGGACAGTGAAACACACCTACAATTTTGTTGACCCAGTCGCCAGGACAACTACAAACCACATGGAGGCAATGTAGCAACAGGCAAAAAATAGATTCATGGTTTAACAAATCGCAAACTTATACCAGACTACTTGGCAGAATTCATATGGCTGCAGAGATTTAAGGAGAGCCCATTTGTTGTAGTAGAGAAATTTTGGAAATAAAATGGTCTTTCAAAAACAAGGAGAAAGCCATTCAAATGCTCTTAATGAAGACCCTACTTTCCGTCTTGATAGTGCTCTCTCTTTGAAGCAAAACCATCTATACATGGCTCAAATACAATTTCAAATGTTTGTCCTTCAAGTAAAGTACTGTGATTTTGTTGTTTGCACAGATATTGAAAAGCATATTCAAACAGTTTCTCTCAATAACTGCTTCAGCAGCAACTTGGCTTCAGCATCTGAGGTTTTTATTCTTTAACCACATGCTTCCTGAAATTGTCACGAAAACTATTTATTCAAAACAGAAAGAATTGCCTCGTAGTGATGAATTGTGGTGTGTTTGTAAGAAGAAAGCATATAGCAAAATGATTGTGCTGGGGAAAACTGCACAATAGGAAATTTCATAACAAGTGTGTGGACATTAGAAGAAAACCAAGAAAAGAATGGTTCTGCCAAAACTGCTTACCACATCAATAAAGTTGCTCACCTTGTAATTTCTATAGACAAAATGGTCCACTTTGCAATCATTTCAGAACATCAAAACTTGACTGTACAGGATAAAGGAAAACCAGTAGAAATAGCCATATTGAGATTCTTGTTTGCTGAGGTAATAGGTGTGGCGAGAATGCCTTTGTGGTTGAGATTTACTGAAGTTGATGCTTCGGAATTTGATGTCCGTGGACCTAGAGGACCAATAAATGCCATTTCACTTTTCTGATGACTTTGAGCAAAGTCTTCCTTCATTTGGTTAAAACGCTCTATTAGATCTTTTAGTGTATCCGTGATCTTGGATAGAAGTGACTTCTGGTTGAAGTTGGTAGTGTCGTGTGAACTGTGAATGTGAGTGTAGGCTTTGCAGTTAAATTTCAGGCAGATTGAACATTTGTGGTCTCTTCCATATTTGCAAATCTTGGAATCTTCTTCACAATGGGCGACTTTGAAGCGGTTGAAGTCTCGACATATTTTTAGGGATGAATCTTTGAGCTTCGTTAGCAGTTTGAGGCAATGAGATTTGTAATGACCGTAACCTTTGCAATATGAACAGGCGGCAAATAACATCCTTGTGTCTGTGAAAGTGATGCTTAATTGGTTCGGAATCGTTGCTCTTATGCTTGAAAGCAAAATCGGGTACTCCACCAACTGTTACAGTTTAAGTTAGCGTGTACCCAAGTTAAATGTACTTGGCTACTTCCAACAAATGTAAACGAAGTACCATACACGGAGGTTAAAGATATCAATTTCAAGTCCGCCAGAAAATTAAAAGCCAAGTTAGATGAAAAAATTGATGATTTATCCATGTCAGATTTCTCTCCAACAGTAAGGCCTGTGCCACGGTCAGTGCCTGAAGTACCGTTTCCTTCTGGTGCAGAGATGAATGCTCTTTTCTCAAAGATAAATGAAAGCAACAAGAAACCTGTTATCCTTTCCCTAGTACCTGAATTTTCAGAACAATTTGTACTGAAAAGTCGACGGATTCCAACATTGCCAGCACTTTATGATTATGAAAATTTGAAACTTACCTACCCTGAATTGTTGCAAAAGTGTTGTGAAGTTGAAGTTAAACTTTCTGATTCTGACATTAAATTAATTGAATGTGATACAAGAGACCAATCAAATGGTACTGCATTCTTTAAGCACAGAGCTGGAAGGGTTGGTGCTTCAATATGTTATTCTGTTGCACACACAAATCCTGCCCAACCATCTATCTCTCTGATTAAGAGCATATGTTACCCCCAGTTATTTAGAGTAAACTCTAAAGCAATCAACCATGGGATCAAAAATGAAAGTAAAGCCATAGAGGCCTACAACACTGTCATGTCTGCAAATCATGACAATTTTGCAATAGAGAAATGTGGTGTTTTCATTTACAAAAAACATCCTTGGATGCATGCAACACCCGATTTCCTTTGTACATGTTCTTGCTGTGGTAATGGATGTGGGGAAGTCAAATGCTCTTACCCAAGTGACGATAGTGATTTTGCAAGCTACATAAATAGAAAAAGTTCTTGTCTGGAAAAAGTTGATGACTCATTCAGACTGAGACGAAAGTATTACTATCAAGTACAACAGCAATTGGTAGACAATTTTATTACTTCGTTGTGTGTGTGTTCAGCTGTGGTAAGCCTATATTATTTTTGGAAAGAATCTTTCCAGATATATATCATTGGGAAGCTACTGTTCCAAAGGTAACCAAAGTTTGGCAAATGTGCATTTTACCTGAGCTTGTTGCACGTTGGTATACAAGAAAACAGCACCTACTACATTTACAGCCAACTCAGCCAGAGACAAAATCCTCTTCTATTTGTTACTGCAGGATGCAAGTTCAAGGAAGTACTCTGAACTGCAGTAACCCAACATGCTTAATAAAGGAGTTTCATTATGCATGCTTACGAATTTCTGATCCAGTCGAAAGGAGTGGTACTGCCCTAACTGTTGTTTGCTACCTGAATTCCAATGCAAGAAAAGTAGGAAAATATCAAAAGAAGCCTGTTTAAAGAGCCAACACAATGACGAGGCTTTAAAATTGGATACCATATGTGTTTGTCACTCAACGCCAATAGAGAATGAAAGGCTCCTGAAATGCCACAGTGAAAATTGCAAAAATGGAAAATATTTTCACCTTAATTGTCTTGACTACAAGAAAATGCCCAATAATAGCCAAACTACATGGATGCGCAGTACCTGTAAGGTTTCCCATACAGCTAAACCAGCAAAATTCAGGTCAACTGGCCCTTTTGATTCAACAGCTGAAGTTTGTATCCAAAAAGAAACTGACAAGGGTACAATTGCTGACAGTGCTTCAGCAAGTTATGTTTCAAGTGATTCCAGTGATGATGAATCAGGTGTTCTAATAACAAATGAAACTGTAGGCCACATAGGTAAAAGGGGTGCACTTGGTGAACTGAATGAAAACCATTTTGACATAATCAGTTCACCCTCTGGGTGGTTAGACTGCTCTATAATTCAGCAATCACAATTATTATTACAAAAGATCAATCCTTTAATAGAGAGCTTTCAAAAAACAACTCTTGGGCCTATAAGAAACTTTGACATAGTAACATCTGAATTCATTCAAATACTGCATACTGGGCACATGCACTGGGTCTGTATCAGCTCTATCGGATGCAAACCAGGAATAGTCAATCTTTTTGACAGTCTGTACCATGACATCATTGAGGAAGAGGTGATGGAACAGGTAAAGTGTTTGATGGCTGACAGTTACATTGATTTAGTTAATGTTCTAGTCCAACAACAGAATGGAAGTGACTGTGGGGTATTTGCCATTGCATTTGCAACCTGCCTTGTACATGGTTTAAATCCAAGAGACTTCACATTTGACATTCCGAAAATGCGTCCACATGTATGCAAATGTTTAAAACAAGGCAAATTTACAATGTTTCCAACAATTTAGCCAGTAACATGAAATAATTTTCAACTAGAATGTTCATAATAGTAAATTATTCTTTCTAAATTATTTGTCTTTATTTCCAGTTTGCAAAAGTCAAGTAAAGCCACTGTTGAAAAATTTGGAGAAATGATTTATCATCAATAATCACTTCCAACTATCTATTAGGTATCTAGATGTAGGGAATTTTTTTCACTCAGCTACAGCTTTCGTGTTCACTATAGATGTAAACCAAATTTTGATCATATTCCCCCTCTTTTGGAAAAATGACCCCCTTTCCCCTCAAGGCAACATCATTTTGAGTTCAATAAAATCATTATTATGTCTAAACAGATGAGATTAGAATATATTTGTACTTGAGACCAAATTCTGAGTCCTAATTCATGTGTTTCTACAGAAATAATGTGTAGTAATATATTGATTTAAGTTTATTGAATTAGTGTATTTGAAGGGCTAACATACTTGTCACATTTTTTATATCAGCAATGCAACAATTTTTGAAGTAATAATCAACATAACAGTCAAAAGCCTATGACAATTTTGTTTAAGCCACTCTCCAGAAAATAATTTTATATGAAATAAATTTATATATAATAAAGAATAATATGTGTGTAGAGATTCAGACTTTGTATTTATTGTGTGTCCAGTTGATAAAGCACACAGAAAGTGACCACAGCATAAGAATGGCATATCATGTTTGTTATCTAATCAAATGGTATAATAGGAGGACAAAGATTGACAAAACCAGAACAAACTCTTAGAATACTGTCTATCAATGGCACCTGACGTTGATCACTTGTCATTAGAAAATCAGTGCTGAGGGTTCCCTGCAGAATTGTGTACTTGTTCCTTAGTAACCCAATAACACGCTCCACATGGATCCTAATGTTTGCAATTCCTCTGGTGCTCTCTACATCTATTGGATCTAACTGACTCTTGCCTTTAGTAAAGGCAGGCATGACAAGTTTAGCCCCTTTGAAGGCAATGCTTTCATGTATTGTGAAGCCGCGATCAGCCATAACAAGATCTCCTGGCATGAGTTTGTTTAAAAGACAACAATTTTCAGTCAAAAACTTGTCTGAGGTACGTCCTCCCCATGCCTTTGAAACAAAAGAAATGCTCCCTTGAGGAGTAATACCAATCAAGACTTTCACCGTATTGTGGTGCTTGTAAGAGCTAAAGGTTTGTGCTCTTGCTAAGAGGTTAGTGGGCTTTTCTATGAATATCTCAAAACAATCTATTATGACAGTGGTCTTGTTCCCAAAAGATTACTGAAAGCTTTGAGGCATTGTATGCCACAATTCTTCTCTTTCTGGCCAGTAGATAAGTGGTTGAAGTCTAACTTCCATGACTGTGATCCAAGATAGAAATATTCTTGAAACTGTAGGAACAGATACCCCAAATCGGTAGGCCAGGTCTTGATATGGCACATTAAGTCTTAGTTTAATCAAGGCCAAAACGAGTTCCTGATATTTTGTTAGTGTAAGAGATCTTCTTGTGACATATTGGGCAACATGTTCATAGACAGCATCTAGAAGCTTCAAAGTTGGCAACCCTGTGTAAAATAAGACCTTCTCGTCTTCCAGCATGTCTTCACGATCAAAAAAAGGTTTTGGTGTTTTAAACATATAGTCAAATTCCTCAGTTTGTGTTGTGGAATCACTAGTTTTAGTTTGGAGTGTCTGGGTACTACACTCAGCAATGTTTAGACCAACAAGTTTTGAAGTGACTTCACACAAAAAGTCATCGTCGCCATATTCGCTGAAGTCTTCGTTGTTTATTGAAGTTGAAGTGGAATCTAATGAAATTTTCTCTTTTATGCCCCCATCCTCGTTAAGTTTTGCCAATTTAGTAGCTCTCTCCATTAACTCCCTCTCATGTTGTCTTTTGCGACATTCTTTAGCCCGTTCGCTTCGTGCCACCTGAAGTTCTGGGTCATTGGTATTGCTTGCTACTTTCTTTGAGTGGCCTAGTTCTACTGTAGGTACCCAGTCAACGTTCCACTTATCCCAAGAGGCTGCCGGTTTTCCTTGGACAAAGTGCCGACTACAAACTCTTCCACTTTTGATAAGGTTTTCGCTCAACCACCTTCTTCGTCGCTCAATCAACAACTCCTCAGTTGATTCTCCTTGATTTGTAATTACAGCAGGTACACGATAGAAAGAAATTAAGTTATCACGAACACTTCTTGAGTGACAATTTACCATTAAACATAAAACCATGGTTGAAAAGCGATGTTGTCCTTTGTTGTGCCTACCGATCGATCTGTGGTTGTGCACCAAAATGGTGGATAGTAACTGTTGTCATGCACAGGGTCACGTGTGTGAAAATCGAGAATAGACCATTTTCACAATTTCTATTGAATGCGAGGTCAGAATCGAGGGCGAAGCTATGGTTGTTTGAGTCATACGAGGGTGAAGACTTTCCATGGCGATCACAAGTTTCGTTCACGTTTCTTTCAAACTTTCGGGGTTTTATACCTTTAGGAAGAATACTATTATGGATAGCGAAGTCTCTAGTAGTGGAGTCGGAAAGAAATCATCATTAGGAAAGCAATGTGCGGCTTTTGGGTGCTATAATTTTTCATACAGACCTGACGGCACGCCGACTGGCCTACATTTTTTCAAGTTCCTGCAAAGAAATCCAGAGAAACGATTATGGTGCAATTTGATTGAACGAGTGGATGGTCTAGACGGTTTTAAAGTAACAGAGAGTACACGTTTATGTCAAGAGCATTTTAAAGATTCAGACATCAAACGAAACCCTTTGAGATGGAAGTTAAATCCTGGTGCAGCCCTATCCTTGAAATTATATACACCTCCTGTATCACGCGAAAGAAGCCAAGCCGTTCGTAAGAAGCCAAGAGATCGCAGCTCTACTGATGTTTTTCGGAAACCATCTTCTTCTATGTCTTCAACTTCGGATCTGCTACCTACTTGTTCTTCAAATTCTTTATTGCCTGATGTTGACCAAGAAATGACAGAAAGCCTTGCTCCTCTGTCAATTAGGACAGTATCAAGGCAAACAGACTTTTCATTTGTCAAGTCACCTACAATTCTTGAAAGTTGTCTCCTGCCAAGTGATGGGGATCATGAATGTTCACCAGGCATCCTGAAAGACCCACATTTGTTAAATTTTATAGAGCTAAAGAAGAAGGTTGAGAAACTTTCAACGCAGATTTCTGAGTAAATGAAGAGCTTGCTGCTACTCAAAAGAAGCTTTTCTCTATTAAGAAAATTCAAGATAATGACTCAGCAGTAAGATTTTACACAGGCTTTGCAAATTACTCTTCTCTTTGTGCTGTAATCAAATATTTTGAGCCAAAGCTTCAAAAACTTTCATACTGGCGTGGACACAAATCACAAATCATCAAGCAAGCCTTCTGAAGAATCTATTATGTCTTCAATGCGTGGACGTAAAAGAATGTTGTCACATTTTGAAGAATTTATTTTTGTTTTGATACGTCTCAAAGTTGGTTTTTTATGGTTGATCTTGTAGACAGATTTGGTATTTCTGTAGGACATGCTTAAAAAATCTTTACAACTTGGATTAACTTTCTTTATCATGAATTGCCGATCCTCTTTCCATTTCCTTCTAAAGTTCTTGTTCAAATGAACATGCCTGAACAGTTTAAGAGGTATCCATCTACAAGGATCATAATAGATTGTACTGAAATCTTCATTGAAGTCCCTTCTTCACTTGTTGCTCATTCACAAACGTGGTCTGAGTATAAACACCACAGTACTTGGAAAGCCCTTGTTGGGATAGCTTCAATGGTGCAGTTACCTTTATATTTAAGCTGTGGTCTGGAAGAGTCTCAGACAAAGAAATAACCTTAAAATCAGGACTTTTATCCCTTTTGGATCCTGGTGACAATGTTATGGCTGATCGTGGCTTTGATATTGCAGAAATTTTACCCCGTGGTGTTACTCTGAACATTCCCCTTTTGAAAGGGGCACGTGACCAGTTGACTGCAGAGGAAGTTGAGGAGACTGCACATATTGCTTCAGTCCGAATCCATGTTGAAAGAGCAATTGGACGAGTAAAAACTTATCATATTCTTGATGGTGTTATGCCTTTAACTTTATCCTCTATCTCTAACCAAATTTTTATGGTTTGCTGTTACTTAACTAGCTTTTCACCAGTTTTGGTTAAGAATAGTAAATACAAAGGACCATATATGTATGGTTGCACCGATTGGTGGTCATGTGCCTGCGTTTTTCTGATTGGCCTATTTCGATTCACACCTGGGTATATATTTTCCATTGTGTTATTTTGTACCCTTATTCTGCCGTTTTATACTCTGAGGAGTGTCCGACGAAAGCTTCAAGTAGTTTGTTTGCAGTGGGCTATTTAATAAATGTCTATTGTAAGAGGCAAGCCTATTTGTCTGACACTGGGATATTTTCTAAAATAAAATACTTACAGGGGAAGGGGGCCTAGGCTGTCAAAATAATTTACACTCAATACATTTACAATATAAAGCAAATACAATTCCAATAAAAGAACATTTAGCTTCCATTTGCAAAAGAATCTATTGAAAGTAAATGCATGCAAATCATTTGAAGTATTCAGCATTTCCTACCTTCTATGGTATCTACTGCACTGTTTATTGCAGTTGGGTAGACAAGTTACACTATTTACTTGTAGTTTTTAGTTAATACCATTAACACCAGGGTGCATTCCATGTAGTTTACACCGGAGATCTCAGGCGTGGACTTAGCTTTTTCCTCGGCGTAGCACCATGAAATTTGCTATTTGAGAGCCTTGGCGCATTGGCGTAAGTGATAAATTTACTTGTACAGAATACGTGGACAGCCTGATTATATTGATATGGACAGTAAAAGCAATGCAAACTATAGATTAATTGAAAGCTTATGCTGTGATGATTCTAATGAACACAAATAATTACATAATAAATGCTTTTCAGAGTTGCTGAGCTTGAGAATCTTCTCCGTATCAAACACCGCAAGCAGCCACCATTTTGTACTACGAGCTTTCAACATTAATTGTTAGCCCTCAGCCTCCATGCCAATGGCAGGACACGGATGTCACGTTTTTACCAGGATAAACGCGATAGTGTACTTGAAATGGCTAACAATAATGCAAATGTGAAAACATTACCCCCATGTGTTTTCATGGACACAGAGACTGCGAGCGGGTAACAGTCACAGTGGAGAAAGTTGAGATTCACAATGGCGAAGTCAATGTCTGGTACGGATAAATTTCTCCAGCATGTCACCCCCTGAATGCAATTGAAACGTAATTGTTTTTACTTAACTAGAATCATCTCATCATGAGCTTTCGATTGATGTATAATTTGTATTGCTTATACTGTTGATATCAATATATTCCGGCTGTCTACATATTCTGTACAACAATCGCAAAAACAATGAAATAGAAATAATTGCTTGACTTTTGATGAAAGTTATTGCCTGTAAGTGACACTTTCAGTGAGACTTGGAAAAACAATTTTAATACATGATAAAAACAGTGTGGTCTACTTATTTTCGCTGTTTTCATTTTAAACTGACTCTCTTTTCCTGTTTTTGAAACTCTCATTGTCTGGTGTAACAGTAGTTCAGTAGTGCAACAGTGTTGAAGCAGTCGCTAAAAGTTCAAGATAGATCGGAAAAAGGTTTACATTCAGGTGAGTAGTTTCATTTTAATGTTAAGTTTTTAATAGTCCCATAGGTAGGCGTAAATAACGAAAGTTTGAGCTTTGAGCACACGTTTTTTTATTTAAAGCCTAGCTCCAGTCCTAGTACTAAATTAAATTCTAAATTAAATTCTACATTCTGCCCTTAGCAATGGATGCAAACTGCCATGTTTGCAGGAATGCTGTTGGCAAAGCACATCAATGTATTAAGTGCAAAAGCTTCATTCCCATATTTTGCGGCATCACAGAAGAGGAAGAAGGCTATGGACAAAGGGCTATTTGCAACAAATGCATAGATAATGATGAGGATGGTAAGTGTTAAGAGTTTTCTGCATTAAATTTTCGAAAAATTTGAATCAAGAAGCTGAAAATCAAAACCAATACACACCAACCAAAAGTAACTTTACAATGTTTTTATTTATGATTTCAGACGTGAAAATAACAGAAGCAGAAAATAAGAAAAGAGAACCTGCACCACAACCAGAAAAGAAAAGACAACTCTCTGTATATGATTGTATACCGATAAAGAAGCCTGAAAAAAGCCTGTTCCGTTAAAAAAAGCAAAACGAGTAGCAGAAAAGACAAGAAAAATACTTTTGCATCGAATGCTTTGAGGTACATTTACAGGGGAAAAGAGAAGAACGCTTTTGCAGTATTTTCAGGATTGATGCATCTAGTGTCAATCGTCACAAGAAGAGGTGGCACAGCTTACCAGACTCTAAGTCTGCCACTTTTGTGCCATCAACCTCACCAGAAGTTCGGGAATTGCGAGCAAGGTACAAACAAATTCTGGCAAGTTATAAAAGTAAACCTGCTGCCATCAAGTTAGATGAGCTGCATTCACCAACCACTGCCACTGATGATACAATTTTGCAAGATAAACCTCAATTGGCATTCGAGGATGATGAAACAAGAGCAAATATTGTAGGTATAAGAGCAGCGAAAAACATCATGCAACTTGTTGAAGTAGCTAAGCTGCTGTGATGGTTCTATTATGAATCATCTGAAACTGCTGTGCTACATTGCTTACCATGTTTCAAGATGCATTTAGCTAGTGAGCCCACATTAGCAAATCTTACACCATTACAAGCGTAAAGAATAATAAATTCACAAAGCAGAGGAACGCTAGCGACCGGTATATTTATTGACAGAAAAGCAACATGTCTTCTCATTGAAGGCCACAATGCAACTTGGCATCACCAAAAAGGCACCTGCGTTGAACATCTTTGCTTGATAAAGGGAGGCTCGAAATTGCATGAAAAGGCAATGGAAAATCACAAAAAAGAGGTGAAAATGAACGAAAAGAAGTCCACCGCTGCTATGAACATCTTTCGGGCAGCAATTGTTGATGTAAAAATTAGAGCAGCTGGGGTGCATTTTGAAACACTGTTACCATTTCTTGCATTGTGCTCAGTAAACGTTGGGAGCATAGGACATTCTCGAAACAAGTTTAATGATATTTTATACTGCTTGGAAAAAACAGTGAATTCTCGAATGTCTGCATGGTTAAATAGACCTTTGGAATCAACCCAGTTTCCTCCTCACTTTTGGGCAACTGTAGATAAAGGAACAATTTTTCGGACTACTAATCAAGCAACACTGATTGTAGCCCGCAATGAAAGTGGAACACCCTGCCCTATTCCAGTTGCTGCACCTACCATTTACGCCGAGTGTCAGTTAGCATCTTACCAATATCTCGTTGATATGTTGCTTGCTTCGATTCGAGAAAACTTTACCAAAGATCTCCTTTCAAGACTCTGTGGTGTTGCAGCAGATGGGCCATGCCAAGCTTGCGGTTTTCAGTAAAGAATTTTGGATGCTCTTCAAATTGAAGATGATGAGAATAGCCAGCTTTGCTTTTCTTCAAGCCACTGACAACTCAGCAAGGCGTCCCGTCTCATATGCTTCCCAAAGATTCACCAGCATTTCCTATGAACAGTGGGTGAAAATTGAAAAGAGTTTCAATGCCTACTGGCAAGCATTTGAGCTTCTTTATCCCAATCGACAGAGGAGAAGTAAAGAAGAGGAGTACCAGTATATGATAGCAGATTTCATTGCTGACCTTCTAGCATTTCTGGACACCATGAAGCCAATAGTTGACTTGATGCTGCATGTCCAATCCTTGGACACACCAATTTGGAGACTTAAACTTTGGTGGCCTAAAGTAAAATATGTTATGGAAAAAACAGGTCAGGGAGATCCCGACTCTTTTCCCAAGTTGAAGAAGGCCCGGGACTCAATCAAGCCAGGTGGGGAGTATAAAGGAGTCACCCTTTTACCAGGCTGGCTAATTAAAAAGATTGACAGGAAAGGCAAAGTGTACAGCTGGTCTATGAGGGAAGGTGATGATATAGAATAGGACCACCGAAATTTTGCAAATGATTTATTACAAGCAGTGGATGCGAGAATTACATCCGTTACATCTGATGAATGCTTTCCAGTGTTGCAAATTTTTGATGCTGCTACACTTATTGATCTTCACTGTGGCAGAAGAATTGATGGAGAAGTGCGTTTGACGATTCCAGATGGTGATTAAAATAGTTATGGCGTTGAAGAGTGCAAGAAGATGATGGAGGTAGTTTCAAAAATGCAGCATATCGTGGAGTCAGAGATGAACTTTGATACAAGACTTGCGCATCGGTACATGAGTCGATTAAAAGAAGCTGTTTTGCAGGCCTTTGGAAGTCATTTTGCCCTGAATTGTTCATTGATGGTAACAATAAACCAATTAAACAGCTAGATGTAGAGCTAATATCGCTACAACCAGTGGTATCAACAACATGCTTTGAATCAATGTTTGAGATGACCTTTAGTGATGAAAGCAGGCATATTGTGAGATTGCATGAACAAAGTGTTTATAGTTCTTTCTATGCCAAGGAGGAGATCTGTGGGGGATCAAGTAAATGACCCTGCACTGTACAAAAAATGCCTCATCCCTCTAATAGAGACGAAACTCCAGAAAGGTTCCCGGTTCCTTGTTAATAATGTATAAAAAGACAAAAGCGAAAAAGTACTGGGAGTGTTCTATTTATTAACTTTTAAAAAGACTCCTTGATACTGCGAACTTTACATTAAAACGACATATTCCATGAGTGAGATTATTTCTAGCGTAGCGTTCATCTTGTGAGTTGTGTCTCCTTGTCTGCCTGTTTCTTCGAATGAGTTGAATTGCATGTCATCAATCACATGACCAATCGATTTCCTTCATCCTCCCCCCTTTGATTGATTACTCGATCAATAAAAAAAGCAATGTTGAATTTACATAAATTCATATTACAATGAAAAAAGGAATTCATTAGCGTCCTTTAATAAAAGTTGTGACATCTTCATCGCGTATCATTGCCATTTGTACATCCACTTCTTCTTCTGGTACTTTGTCTTGATCGACTTGTTCTAAATAATCTTGAACCTCTATAGGATACAATTGCTGTATCGAGCGTTTCAAAACTACAACTTTCCCCGAATTGTCTGTTGTGTGTACTTCTACTGCATGTACAATGTTGTCTCACCCTGGTAAGAGTGATATCATTTTTCTGAGTATCCATTTCTGTCTCGGCGTTTTATCGTTGTGAATCGGAACTATATCTCCTTCTTTTGGAATCCTTCGTAATGGTTTTCCTTTTGAAGTATTTCTTTCACGAAGCGAAGTCAAATATTCTTTTTTCCACTGTGTAACGAATCTCCCAAGAGGTGTTTCGGGATATTTGGCGCGTGTAGTTAATGTAGTTTTATCTGAATCTGCGTTGTTTTGCGTAATCTTGTATTTATCGAGTAACCTGCGACCTGTAACTAGGCATGATGGCGTTAATGGCATCTGTGTTACGTCTTTGTAAACAAAGGTAAGCAGGCACAGGTGAAGTATCGCTTCAGTCTCGATTAGAACGTTTTCTAATTCTTCGTATGTCAAGAGAGCGTTTTTTAGCGTTTTTCTCAAACATCGTTTTGTTAGTTTTATCATAATTTCGAATATACCACCCCACCAACTCGCTTTCGGAATATTGAACCTCCAGACAATACCTTTACTATTTACAAATTTTTGCACAGCACAATCGATGAATGTTTTCCATTATCTGACAAAATTCGCGCTGGTATGCCTCGACGAGATATGAATCATTTCAACGCACGAATGAAGATACTTCCACTAAGATCTGGAACAAGTTCTAAATGTATTTCTCTCGTACTAGCACATGAAAACAAGGCAATGTAGCATTTGGAAGATTGATTATCATTGTTGTAAATGTTGCGAACGAATAAGGGTCCTGCGAAATCTATACCGATTTGCGAAAATGCAGCGTCTTCAGATACACAATAAGGTGGCAACGGAGGTGCGCAAGGTGTATCATACGGCTTTCCATTCAATTCCTTACATGTAATGCATTTCGATAAAATCGATTTAACTAGTTGCCGACCTTAGCTTATCTGATAATCAGATCATAGTTCCGTTAAAGTTTCTCTTATCCCGTTGTGTTTTACAGCTTCATGACTTTTTGTAACAATTAAACAAGGAAGATGATGTCCCCTTGGCAACAAGACAGGATACTTGGTTTCGTATGATAAAGGAGCGTTGTCAATTCTACCTCCTACACGTAAAACCCTTTGCGAATCTGAAACCACTCAAATTTTTCTATGTTTCGTTGAAACTTTGGTCATTTTTGAATGAACTTTGAGCTTCTATGGCCCAGCGGGTTTTAGCTTCGTTATCACAAGCTGAAATTTTCACAAGCAATAACTGAGTTTAAGCTAACGGCAGGTTTAGCTGTTGAAATCAAAACATTTGAGCTTTCTTTGTGTTGCGAAACCTTTTGTTTAATTTTGTTTTCTTGAGACATTTCGAATTTATGCCAGTGTTCTGCTTCCTTTGTAAGGAAATCTGGTCCATTCCACCAAAGGCTACTTTTTGATAATTTTGAGAAGGCTACTGAGAACGAATTCTGAGAACGATATCTGCCGTATTTGTGTGAGAAGGGCAGTAACCCCATTTTTCTTTCGCGATTAACAACCTTAATTGTTTTAAGCGACTTTGAACAAATGGTGTTTGAAATTTTGTGTCATCGTGGATCCAATACAAAACAACTTGAGAATCAGACCAACAAAATATGTTTTGAATGTCACAAGAATTGCTCAGTGCTTTATGAACTGAGGATATCAATTGAGCTAGCGTCAAGGCTGCCATTAATTCTAAGCGTGGTATAGTTTCACCCATCAGTTAATTTTTCTGCACCAGTAAAAACTTTTCCGGACTGGTGAATTCAATTGAGTAGATCTTGATCGTTTGAGGCCCATTTTCTCATGTTAAAAACTCCTTCCTAAAAACAACCCTTAAGTTTCTCTTAAACTTCGAAGGCTTCATCTTATAGAGATCTAACAACATTGCAAACGAATTTAGGATCAGATTCTTCGTATCTTTTTAAATGATTAGAACACTGAGAAGCTATGCTTATCGAGCAGTGTCCTGGTCCTTCCTCCCATTGTGACCACACCTTATGATTCCTACTCCTGGATTTACAGAGAGCTGGTGACTTTCCTCAATCTGGGTGGATGTTTGGTGATGTCAGGGACTCGAACCACGGACCCATGGATCTGTAGTCAGTGCCTCTAACAACTGAGCCAGCCTCACACCTGTAACTGTCAGTGTCTGAAATTATATCTTGTTTATCTGTACAAACAAAACAATTTTATGACTCTTTTGTTATATTCTTCTTTTTCTTTGAAAAAATTCTCCCAGCCACCCTGTAAATAAAGTTTTTCTCCTCTTTGAACATGCCTGGTGTGGTACTCTGGCAAAACAGCTATGCGGTAAAAAAATTTCTGTGGCAGAACAGATGTTTGCATAAAATTTTCATCGTATTCAATGGTTTCAATGAATAATGGGTGGTCATCACCAAACCAAACAACTAGATCTATCCTTTTCATACCACTGGAAAACATTTGTCCTTGGATTTGAAAAAAGCATTTACTGTTCCTTTTGAGCTTCATAACTTCATTCTTTTTCATTAGAAAAAATCTCTTATCCAACAATGCTTTAGAAAGAGGAGAATTAAATTTTGAAAATGGGGCTTTGATTTCAATCCCCTAAACGTCTCCATTGCATTTTACAATTCCGTCAAGAGATGCACCAAGATAGGAATGAGTTTTCGATATAATAAGGCCAGGCTCTTCGATTGAAATGTTACAGCCATCTTCCTTTGACAGTTCTTGTGAATACAAAGAGCGAATATGCGATTCAAAAGTCTTTCCATGATGAGTACTAGCAGAGGAAAAGGAAGAGTAATACATGGAATGAAGCTTTCTTGATGGTTCAACAGAGTTCACTGCAGCAGTATAGAGATTTCATGCAGTTATGCGGTACATTCGATGCAATTTCCATGTTTCATTTGATGCTTGGCCTCGAGTTAATTCTTATATCTCCTTGATCTCTGTTTCACCAAGGTTACTCTTTGTGCTGCAAAAATATTCCATCATCCCTTTGAAATCAGGACAAGATATATCATAAAAATTATTGAATGGAACTGAGTCCTCAAGAATACACAAATTAACATCAGAATTATCGTATATGATTCTATGATACGATTATCGATTATTCAAAGATGATACAATTTCAGTTGAAATAGAAGAGGCTGACTCCTTCAGCTTGTAAAAAGAAAAACAGGTACTGTTTGGCAAACAACTTGCAAGCTTTGACTTCAATTTTTCAAGCCCTTCCTCATCCAGTTTTTGGTCTTCCGGTGCTTCTGGATCATAGCATTTCGATTTCTTGGGAATAATATTATCTTTTGCCAATCTAAATTTCTGAATAACAATTTCATCAATAGATTGCAGCAAAATAGACTTCAGTGAAACAGGAACATTCCAGGAAGATAACTTTTAAATACAGGAAACTTTGGAATGCTTTGGGCAGTCTTGATACCCTTTTCTGTTAAAATCTTCCAGGGCAAAAAGAACGGAACACCACCAACGTGATTACAGTTACCAAAACCACCTAAACCAATTCAAGCTTGACATGTACATGCTGCACTGCAAACATCGCCGTTTGAATTTGAAAGAACAACAAGAACTTTATACAAAGTATTCTTCATGGCAGCTTTCATGCGGACATCAAAGAATGTAAAATTATTATCTTTGGCAACAGAAAACTTCTTGATTTATCCTTCATAAAATAACTGAAAGGATTTCAGCTTTTTGTAACCAGTGCTCTTTTCACTTTTATACGATATACTTAAACTTCATTGTTCTGATAACAAGATAATCATATAGCTAAACGAAGGTGAAAACGGGAGTATTAGGGTCATCTGGAACCTATCGTAAGAGCAGCTGTGAGTGCTTCCTTCAGTTTTGTGAAACTCTGTTTTTGAAAAGAATCTAAATAATGTATTAAGCTTTCTAAATACCTGGTGAAAAGCCTCTCTACGCCTTGGTGTGTAGGAGAGATATTCCCGCTTTGAAATTGTTGTCAGTTGATGCTTTGAAATAAATTTAGCATAATATAAATCATTAAAATATCAGCTGTTTGCTACTATTACCAATTGATGTTCACAAAACTTTTGCTAGCAAGCTTTTTCCGCTGTTACGCCCCAGACACCCACCCCCGTCCCCCCCACTGCTGAAGCCCTGGGTACGCCGCTGGGTGGATACATGTGAAAAAATAGCTCTATAATGTCGTAAATGAACATGATTTATATTCTGTGAAACATTTTTATAGCATTTGAAACCAATCTTTAGGGGGTGGCAGCAAGAAATTGTCGAGTGGGATACCCCAGAGCCTCCAGTTGTTTGGCTTATTCACCCCATATAGGCCTAAATCGGCCCTTTCATTCTTAGCCGCCCTTATGCCCTACAATGATTCCGGCGTTCCTGGGTGAGTCTAAAATTTACGTGAGAGCGAGTTACCGCCAGGATTGTATCTTATTAACCATGATTACTACAGAAAGTTTTATCAATCATAGGTATATTTTTAACCTTACTTTGATTTCGTCATCAGCATCCAAAGATGCAGTGTTTCCAGTTTCTACAAAGAAATTTAGCCATTTCAAACTATGAGAAACATATTCTTAACAAAGCATTTGTGACCACTCCAGGTACTAAATATTAAAGTTATTGAAAGGAGAGGAGGGAAGCTTCCTCTCTCGAAAAAATATGATGTATTAAATCTCCCAAGAAGAAGACATTTGTGGTAGAAATTGGGACAACAGCCAACATGCGTAATAGGACCAATTAGTTAAGCGTTCATCCTGTTATTTAGATTAATTATAGGAATGTCTGCATAACCTTTTGGTTGTCATTATAAAATTAAATTGTTACAGTCCATCAAACTTCACTTTCCATATTGCCTCCCATGGAGGACAATGATTAATTTAATTCATTTCTTTCAAATGGACTGCAACACTTGGCATTTCAGGTATAACTATGTTACTTTTGAAATTAATAACGCATAGGATTTTGCTTAAGAACGGACACACTTTCTGAAATGAATTACTTAAGTAATAAGTAATTTTGTACTTACCAAGTACATGTGCATCCATTAACGCCTCAAGCTCTTCGATCTGATTATTTATACCTTCATCCAGAAAAGGAGCGTCGTTTGTTTGTTGTTGGGGCATTACACCACCATCAAGTCCTAAATGCAATCAAAGATAGTCTTAAAATTGATCTATCAACACATAAAATCCTTCTGAAAGCCTTAATTTAACTTAAATATCAAGGCATCAGCGACTATGCAGGGTTTATTTG